AACAGAATGTGGAGAAACATTTTGTCACTTCTATCAGATCTTTCTCTTGCACAGCAAAAACAACTAGCCTTTGAGAATTTTGCTGGAGCCGGTGCAAAAAGCAGATGATCTCAGGAGGTTGACCACCTATCACTAGATCAGTTCCAGAAAAATAGAGAAAGGATCTTTCCTTTCTTGTAGGCTTATGTCCTGACGAACAGATGATTGTGAGTGTCACTAAGACAGATGGTGATATGTAGGACTGTGAGAAGCTAGGGCAACTTATAGTGCCTCAGACTTATTATAGAGATTGTGTTTTAATAGCCATGAAGAATGGTCTTTCTGGGTAAATGTTCATTTCAAGACAATAGTCCTTAAAAATACAACAAGCAAACCACAGAGAAGATGCACAGATTCATTGTGTGGTTCAAGGTACTGCCTGACAGTAATGAATAGTCTGCAGGATAATGAAGAAAGGCAGATGTGTAAGAGCATAGAGTCCCTAAGTGCTTTTAAGCTGCTCTGTTGTGAGCTGAGAAGTGCTGCAGAAGGCCTTACAGAATGGTCTGTGTGGAGAGTGTCACTGATAGAGCCATGGGTGTTAGAAACATGACTCGTGCCATCTGTTAGAAGCTCTGCTTGCTCTTTCTTTGGGTAGCTTACCTAGGTTATCATTCGTACAACTGACCATGGGTTTTACATGCCCAGTAGGAAATGTATTGGATCTTCACTTTTACTTTTTAGCTCTCTAGTTTTCCAAATGAATATCAAATATTCAAAGCTCTTGATAGTTAATATATGGTGTCTCTGACATTAGACACCTGGAATCTTGCCCCATTCCTGACAAACATGCTTTAATATTTCAGCTCCTGCTACGTAATACAGAAAACAGTGATACTAATGCCTAGCAGTGATTCAGATGGAGCTGTACCTACTGCAGTTTCCTCAGTCATCACTTTTTCTGTAAATACTCTCTTGTGGCTGAGAAGCAAGAGCCCAAATCTGGAAGCAGGAGCCGGAGCTACTGTCATCCCCATTCTCTGTCTTATACTGCACCTTCCCCGTGACAGTTCCCACGTACCTTCCCCTTAGGCACTGAGTGTTGGCGGTGACATACTGGTGGCCTTAACTCTTCTAGACACTGAGGGCAACTTCCCATGGTTGTTATATGAAAGTGGAGTCAAAAGGCTCCTCGGGGAGCAATCGGTGACTGTCCTGTAAGCTCAGGGATGCAGTGCATAGGACTGATGTTTGAGCTGCCGGCAGCCGGGGAAGGTGGTGCAGCAGGAGCAGCATTGATTTTGAGCAGCATCAAAAAAAGAGCACAGCGAGGGCAGGGAAAAAAGCAAGAGGAAAGTGTAGGGAATGTGGAAGTCACCGAGCGATTCAAACTGATTTCTCTGAACTGGTTTGCTGCTCCTTACTGCAAATATTCCAACCTTTCCCTCTGAAATGAGGGAGGGTCAAAGAGTATTTGCCACATCCATCTCAAATCTCATAGGTGTAGTGGTCAGAGTAGTCATTTTGGGGTGTACTGAGAGGAACTAAATGGGAAAAAAAAAAAAAAAGAATTAGCTACATTTACTATGAGAGAAGTTTTGTACTTGCTATCTATGGGCTGCAGATATTTTATTAGATGGGAGCCAGCAAAGATGTGAGAAACAAAAGGCGACACTTCTTTTGGATCAGGATTTTTTCTGTGAAAATTTAGCTTCTAGTATAACATGAGTGAGATACAATTAGGTCTGCTAAAGCGCTGCTACAAATGTATTAAAACGCAGCACTGGGAGAACTGAAGGATTTGAATCAATACCTTTATTGACTAATCTGAGCCAGCACAGACTTAGTGTGTTTTTTTCACTCTGTTCAGTCAGAATCACAGTAGCAGCAGAGAGGGCTACATGGGCTTGCTTTATACAGTTTTAAAGTGAACAAATTGTTGGTTTGTGGACATGCAGTAGGGAAGAAGCTCAGCGGCATGAAAATTACCGTGAGGCAGTAAAGTATCTACTCACTTGTCACTCACACTATTGCTAAAAGATACATCAGCATCCCTGAAAAACCCATAGTAGTCTTTGTGGAGCAGTGTGTTTCAGCTGGCTTTTTAAGCTCCAACTCAGGCTCAGCATCTCTCCTTCTGGCTTGTCTCTTCAAAACATTCAAAAATTATGTGTATCTTGCCTTGCCATGACTTGAGAAAAAGTATCAAAGCACCCCAAGCCTTCCAGCTAGTGAAGAGATGGTGGAAGGCACAGACAGGAACAGCAGGGCTCAATATTGCTGCAGGAACATGCTCACAGTTTATTGGCACTTTTTAGCTTGCAGTGCAAGGCTGAGGCAGGGAGTAGCATCATAATAAAACCAGGTTTTCTACAGATTTAATGACATTGTTGCTTGGCAGCTATGGCTGAAGTTTTTTCCCATTTTAGGGCACATATAAGGACCAGGTCCCGTGTAGATTCTCTGCTGTGTAATACAAGCAATCTCACTTTTGGCCTTCCCGCATGGGAATCCTAAAGAGGTTCTTTGTCCTGCAGCAGTCACCAGTTGTTGAACTGGGCTCAATATTTAAGTGATAAGGAGAGGCATCGATAAGCAGGTAAATACATTTAGAAGTACATAAACAGACATATGTAGTGTGATCACGTGTGCTCATTTCTATTGGAAACTAAATCAACTAGACTAAAAAATATTTTTCAGTTTGGCAATCTATAAGTGATTGCTTTGCAGGAGTGGAGGTGCCACAGCTTATTTTATCCATAACCTTTTGTATATCATATCATATTTATATGTATTTATGTGTATTATATAGACATATCGTTTTTATACATAATAATGTGTTCAGAATAAATATCCTTGCTGCCAGTGATCAGGGCTGTCAAGTAGGAAAGGCATCCTGCATCTAACTGAAGAAAGGTATTAGCATGCAGAAAGTAGTGCTCTTTCCTCTGGGAGGCTTTAATCAAGCCTTGTGTACTGATTGAGATGCAGTGCTCAAAAGTGAGAAAACTGATGAACAAAATCAAAAATCTAGAGTGTTTTTCACGCAAAGGTTCGTCAGTATATCTTATGTAATTACATAGCTAATAAATCACCCCAGTGTGTAAGTGCCTCAGTCACGGTGTAAGTATCTTAATGACTGAAAACATCTTCTCACATGAATAATTTATCCCTATATGATTCATTTTTCATACCCGTGCTTTCCTTCAACATGATAAACCTATCCTTCTCTGTCAGGGAACGTGTGCTCGAGTATTGCTCTCCGCTTCCCCTTTCATATGTTTATTTTCCACAGTTAGACACACTCCATTTCTTCTCTTCTACTTCCTCTAATGCAGTTATCTTCCTTATTCATCCTGTCTGCCTTGGTTTGCCTTCCCAGTGCGTTTTAACAGGCACCTGGGAAATAATGCCAGGACATAAGCTGATAGTGCACTTCTCCAGTAGCTTTGTATGCTTTGGAGCAGCAGCTTGAGATATTGACTCATTCACAACAGATTATATTTGCATTTGGTTTCCCTTCCTTTTCTCAAAGCATTAAGGAAGGAACCTGTGATGGGCCAATAAAAAGTTAAACTTTATCATTTTCAGAATCCGGGCCGGTTCAAACCTTTGTTACAATGCTTGTGGCTAACGTTGTTTGAGTCTTCTGCTTATGCAGTTGTAAATGTGAACCTGTTTGTAGCTCCAGGAACTGCCAAAATATTCAGGGCAAAAATAATTACTTTCTCAGCACAGGAGTGGGAATGAAGCAATTCCTTAAAACTGCTCTGCAGCACAGGCTTATTTGGCTGTATGCAAGCAACTATGTTCAGCTTGCCTAACTTAGACATTTAATCAGGGCCTCTAAGAGAAGAGTTGGATGTCAAAGCCACCTCCTGTAGTTGCCAGAGAAAGGCAGGTCAGTTGCTAGAGAAAGACATGGCCAAAGACAGGTCACCCAGCTCTAAATCCATTTACAACATGATGATCTAGGCAGAAGCAGGCTTCTAGGCTTCCCTTTTAGGATTGCAGCTGAAGGCTTGGCTCAGGTTTGCAGAGCCGTAATTTCCGTAATGTCTGTGGAAGTTCAGCCTTCAAAAATTCAGTCCTGGCTGGCCACACAACCAAAACACTCAAAACTAATACGCACTTTCATAAAAATCGGGTCTCGCTCTCAGACTCTGAAGTTTCTAACTCAAAAAAGACAATAAGATTATTTCAAGTTGGATGAAAAGAAGAATTCTATAATAGAAAATGGATGTTTTATTGTCATTTTATGTTATTCCATCCAGTATGTTTTTCAGTTCTTTCCTATCTTCAGTTTGCCTACTCTTACTCTCCACGTAGGAAGAGAAGTGTCCATCAGTTAATAAAGTTCTCATTACATTTATGATATCATCATATAACTTGTCAGTTTTTAATATTAATATGCTCTTTCACCATATTTCTCTTATGTAAGAGAATTTCGTTTTCTGACTAATTTTATTCCTATGTGCTTTGAAGCCCAGCTGCTATTCTCTTACTACTTCTGTCTCTGAGACTTCCAAGATAGATACCTCACGGTTGAATGTTTTATTCACAACCTCATAGCAGGCCCCAGTCTGTTGAGAACAGATATGTCTACTCTTCACTAGCAGGACACTTGGTGACTTGTCTCCAGCATATGGTTAGTTTTGTTTCTTTTTTTTTCTTTTTTCTTTTTTTTTTTTTTTTTTTGCATTCTTTTACATTTTAGGTGACTTTCAGGTGAAGTCATTTGTTCATGGAGTTGTTTCCCCAACATAGTCTGGTTCTCTGTTGTGATTTTTCTGTCATCCTGACACACAGAGAAGCTCCCAGGCATCCTAGATTCATGAACCTCCTCTTGCTTTTATGTGCTTCATCTTTAAGAGTTAATTCTGGAGTCCTAACCTGATGCCATCCTGGAATTTCCTTATGCAGCATATGGTCTGCCTGGAGAAAGAAAAATAGGAAAACAGGAAAATTGTATAAATGCTACATTGGTATAATACTGATTTTTTGTTGTCCAATTTCAACAGATTCAGTAGCCACAGCATCTGGACCACTGCTGGTTGAAGTTGCCAAAACTCCTGGGGCTGCTCTTGGCGTTGCACTAACTACCTCGATGTGCTGCAACAAGCAGGTCATTGTCATAGACAAAATCAAATCTGCCAGCATTGCAGACAGGTGAGTGCAACAGAAGGCTGACACCTCAGCTCCACACATCCATTTAATTCCTATTTTTGTTTGGTTCAGTTTTAAAGAAACTCTTCCCTTTACTTTTTTTAGATTAATTTGAACCAGGTGCTCTCAAGGTTGCTAGGTCTTAAAATTAGCACTTTGTCGGATCATTGTTCCATACTGCAGAGCTTAAGGATTCTGAGGCACCATTTACTTGCACTCGTTCATATACTATTTAATTATCTATGGCAGCCTCAATGTAATATGTGTCTGTCTGTTTGCAGTGTGCAGCTCAGAAGTTTAGAGGTCTGCTCTGACTATTAAATGTAATGCTTCAGTAGAGATTAGTATTAAAAAAAAAAAAAGACGAAAAATCCCACCCCACTGGAATTCTTAAAGTAAGCCCACAATATGGAACAGCTGTCAAGGGAAGTCAATTTTGAGGCTTTTCAACCTTGAAGTGTTCTTTAAGGATACATCGTTCATTTTTGTGGCATAGAGAAATGGAACTCCTTGTACTAGGATTTTTTATTAATATTTTAGAATACAACTGAGGTATTAGGAAGACTGGCATCCATATTTTGAAGTGATTTTGCAGTACTTGAGTAGGAAAATCCCCTTTTTGACTTCATTTAAACTTCTTTCTGCTATATTAAGATCAGATTATATTTAAAATTGAGGAAAAGAAAAAGTTAGATATTTTTCCCCGATGGTCTAAACCTCCATACCAGAACTATGGGATCTTTTCAGGGATGCGTGTGTGTGAGTGTATGTGTATATACATATAAACTATATATCTATACACACATGTCCAAAAATTTTCCTTAAATATTATGTTTCAGCAGCAAATTTCTCCTACATGTGCCCAGTCACCCTACCTCATAGCTCCTCTTTGGCAACGGTGCTTTTGGTAGCACCCACTTGTAGCAGTGAGTCTACAGCTCCTCTGTGGGCTTTTCCCTACAGTAGAACCTTTGAGAGTCACGACCATTGATCCAGGGGTGTTCTCCAGTTCAATGGTGCAGGATGCTTTAATTTTCTCCCTCTGTTTTTTCCCGTTTCGCAGGGGGTAACCAATTAAAGGAGCTGTCCACTTGACTGGTACGTCGGGATGCTGACTGCTGTGTTTGCATTTCTCAACTCATCCAGTAGCCAGTCTCTTGAGTGCAGCGAGATTTAGCAGATAGCCCCCTCCCCACCCCACTCCTCAAGTCACCATGCCAGCCCTGGTTTCATTATTTGTTTGAATACTGCATAATTTCATCGTCATTTTACAGCTTTTGTACTAATAAATGTTCAAACTATAAGTAACTCAAAAAATGATGAACTGGGTGCTTGTGTGAGGGATATGTGACTCAGTTTTGTAGGTCTCCAGAAGCTCTTCTCATTTTATTCTGCTGCCATTCCTACATATTTTAATAGTCAGCTACCCCATTCCAGTTCTGTGAGTGATGTCTTTGCATACCCTGTATTAACAGAATTGTTTTTAAGGTTGGTACCAATAGATTTAAAGTCTGACCCGTGACAATGCTTACAAACCACAGACTTCTTTCTCGAAAAAAGAGCATGATTGTCATGACCAGTTTGAAGGCAGAAAAACTCCTTGCTCCAAGAGAGCACTCCTGATCATACCAACTTTTTTGCCTGTTCTGTAGATGTGGTGCACTGCACGTAGGAGACCACATTCTGTCCATTGATGGCACCAGCATGGAGTACTGCACTTTGGCAGAAGCAACACAGTTCCTGGCTAATGCAGCAGATAATGTCAAACTTGAGATCCTGCCTCACCACCAGACACGTCTAGCACTGAAAGGGCCAGAACACGGTAAGATCTGTAGCATCAAATTCTGCTTTCTTTTACTCTTTTTATTTTGCTTGCCCCTGCTGAACAACCTGGAAAAGTGCTATTGAGGCCGTTCGGTCTATAAATGTTGTTTCAGCTCCCCAGGTTATGCTTCTGAAATCACTGAGAAGCTCAATGTTCTCTTAGTCTTAACGTACCCTCAGAGATTCCTGCAAATAGAGAGAGAAATGTTTTACTGAGAAGTGGCTCTGCACACTTCTGCATAAAGACACGTGTTTTTTACAGTTGCAATCATTGGGGAAAAGCCAGGTATTTCAGTAAATGACTCTGAATTGCTTCTTAAAATTAAAAGGGAGGAGGAAAGGACACTGCTAACTTCCTCTAAGCATATTTGCTTGATATTCTATTATGATAATGTAATTAATACACCTGTTTTCTCTTAAAATACTTTAGAAAAACGGTATTGTCTCCTGCTAATAGCATTATTATTTATTGCCATCACCTTCTAAAATACTTTTCAGACTGCTGCATGGGTTCGTTGTCTGTACTTGTGAAAAAGGTGCTCAGGGACAATTCCCTGGATCCCTGCCCTTTTGCACTATGCTATTTCTTTACTTTATAACAACATGCTTGAAGAGTGTGGCTTTCCATTTCAAACTGAACATACATAAAATATCTTAGTATTTCAGAAAGATAGCTTCCTGTCTTATTTTCTAAACAATCCTGAAAAAGTCGCTAATTTGAAGTACACAAAAATTTCGTCTAAAATTTCATGTGGTTATGAATGGTGAAGAAATAGCAAGGGTAACTAAATACATACACAACAGGTATCTGTGATGCAGCAGGAATCACTGGTGCCTTTTTATGGGCCTGCAGTACTGTGATTCTGCCTCATTTAGACCATTACAAGGTTTCAGAGGCATAGAAATTTGGTTGTTAATAAATGTTCTTGGACATCTAGCTAAGATTCAGGCTGTCCCTGGATGAGCGACTGGGATTTGCTCTAGTCAGTTTATCAAAGTTGGAGACAATGAACTCTTGGGTGAGAAGACACTTGTTTCTCCTAGTCCATAGTGAATGAAAAGTAAATTTTAAGATACCATATTCTTCAGCTGAGCCTGTTTCACATTTCTACTCAAGCTGTTTCAATGGGAGACAGAGCAGGGAGTCATACAGCAGAACTAGAGTGAGATGGAGATCAAAGTTTGCAATTTATTTCCATACTTTTTAGCTGTGTCAGTATCTGCAAATGGATATTCAGTCTTTGTAAAGGAAAGAAATCACACAATTAGTTTTTGGTTAGTGAAATAACTTCAATAGAGTGTTTCTGTTGGGAAGATGAGTGTCAAGGCCAAAGATTTTTCATGTAGATGGTTGTGTTGCTTCAAGCAGTTTTGCTTCTTAAACAGAATTTAAACCAAGCTGATGCTGTTAATGTGCTAGTCATATTCATCCAGTACAGATACTTTGATAAGCCAATACTCTTGCCATGCTGGCTTTGAGAACCAGCTGCTATTACATAATATTAAGGGGGGGGAGTCTGTGAAAACTAAATAAGAATAAGAAATCTCCTAAATGTAATAAAGCTGTTTTCTTAAACATACCAGAATAACTAAAATGTTTACAACCTTTCCCAGCCCCTCTCCAGATGGTGCTGCTGAAAAAACATGACCAATTCAAGATGCAACATGCTTTATGGAAGCCAGTGTGCTCTTGGAAACAACCTTTCACCAGGTGTCATATGGCCTGGCTGCTAGAGAATTTGAAAAGCTCCGAATGAGACATTAAGCTGTAGCTCTTAAACTCAGTTATTGGTCTTTCTGGAACACATTACGATTTTAAAATGGGCCAGAAAGTCAGTATATAGAATAAGTAGAAATTTAAGCCCTAAAATAAAATGGAGAGCACTACAAGAGATCAGGGTGATTTTTTTTTCTTTTTTTTTCCTTTACATGGTGTTGCTACCATCCATTTCTCTTGCTGCCCCATTAATTTTGTTTGCTGTACACAACTGTGTTGGAATAGCTCAAATTGCCAGTACATTACTACTGTTACACATGAAAGGATTTTCTTTTAGAGAGCTTTTGTTGAATTGGGATTATTCTTCTGCAAGCTGAGCAAACTAAATCTGTGAGAATTCCTACTTTGTAGGACATTCTTATCCTTACCCTCAGTTTGAAAATAAAACATTAAAAAATCAAAGGCTACCAGATAATTTCTTGCTGAAAGCAATCTTTTTAATTAAACAGTGCTCATAGCAACGTGAAAATAATGAAAATCCACCTGGCCTCATTACTTTTATCAGATTTTAATTTCTACACCATAGCTAAAAGTTCAGAAATCTTGCTGTGTGTGTACGTAATCAAAGAGAGCATTTTATATGAAAAGATGCCTTGAGTCTTCAAAGTACATATTTGTCGGATCAGGATCCTACTTCTATTTCTGGGATTTTTTTCTGACTCCGCAGTCTCAAATGATGCCTAAGATTTTCTTAAGCCTTTGAGGTCACTCGTGCTGTTGTCTGGTAAGTGAGGGGTCGAGATCTTCGTGCAAGGTGCCAGTGTTGTCCATTGCCATTCAATGGGGGTGACCCTTGCCTGGTTTTTGAAGTGTTTGAGGAAACAAAAAATGATAATAATTCATTTAAGTCATTTGATGGGAGGGTGAGATGGTGGCACTGGGGGTGGCCAAGACACAGGAGGGGACACAAGCAGGGCCAGGGAGGCAGCAATTGTGGTGAGACGCTGGGCTGCCGAGGAACCCAAGGCCCTTGTGCCTGTGTGTTCCTTGTCTTCCCTCTTCCTTCTTCAGCCTTTGCTTTATTATAGCAGAAGGCTGATCTAGGTAGAGAGGAATTAATACATTCAGGTAAAAACATTGCTTCTGGAACACAGAAAGAAGCAAAACAGCAGCTTTTCTCCTGCACCTACTTGGCAGGAGAGGCAATTCCCCCTTGCTTTTAAGGCATGAACATGAGGCAGGTCTAGCCTAACTCAGCAGATTTCTAGATACTCTTCAAAAGTGATGTGTGGTCACGATGTGTCCACAGCCATCATGAGCAGCGTAGGAAGAATAAACACACAGATCGCATGGACCAAAAGCTGCAAAAAAAAAAAAAAAAAAAAAAAAAAAAAAAAAAAGGCAGTAAACTTCTTTTAGGAAGCTAAAAAAAAGTTTGATAGTGGGGGAGAATCCCTCATGTTTTTAATACTAAAATTAGCTTGTTCTCTGCTTGTATTCTTCTAAGTTCATTAAGGACAAAGCTACACTGAATTTAATGATGACTGGAGTGTATTTAATGAAGGATGACTTCCATCAGTTTCTCTTAATATTTGACAGATCAACTGAAATGCTCACTGTTTACTTGGTAAATACTAGTCTTTGCTTTTGACATATTCCAGACTTCACTTACTTAGGAATAGCAATTAAATATGTTCTCAAATTTTATCCAGAAAATGATCATTTTAAAAAACTTGAAATTGTACATCAAAATAATAAATATGAACTCTAAATTTATGCCTTTTCTTTATTAATCAGGCTTCAAGGTAGAATTTTTCTGCTACTGGCCATGAGAAGTTGTTTATCATGCAGAGTAGTATAATGCCAACAATAGATGCTGGCAAAAATAAAATGTCAGTGCAGTAAATTGAAGTGATGTAATGTAGACATCTCTGTTGTAGGCAGTGTGATATATAGTATCTGATTTAATTCTTTAATAAATGCAGAGGCTTACTAACCTTCAACTAGCAGTCATTTAAAACACATCGCTGTTTTCTAAGAAAGTTTACAGTGTTATCTCTTAAAGCCTGAAGATTAGAAATCAATTCAGAACTAATCTTTTTTTTAAAAAAAAAAAGGTAACAAAGAAGCAATCAGAAGCATTATTTCCAAGAAAAAATTCTTTTCTTGGAATGGTATTTCTACTCCTCAAGTTAGCATACCCTGATGAAAAGACAAGTCTTTTATTATTTTATTTTATTTGATTTTTGATTTGTTTTCAGTTCTGGATATATTTTTTTTAATTTATGCAATCCAGTTCCTTTTCCCTCTTCTCTGCTCCTTTTGTTTTCTGATTTTTGGTCATCCCTTCATGCGGGCAGTGAAGGCTCGAAGAAGCAACAGGCAATTTCCCTGGGGTTTGTGTGCCAACAGCCAGCACAGCCTCCTCACCTCCCATCCTGACCATTGCAAGATATTTGCCTTGAAATTCAAAAAAATGCCTGTCAGAAAAGCCTTTGTAATGTTCCACACTATTTCCTGCTGATGTAGCTTCTCTTCTTCTTCTTTCTTCTCTTCCCTTTCCTCTCCTTTCACTCATGCTTTTCTCATTTCAGGCACTGAAACCTTTTCAGTTTTATGGATGCTACACGTTTTCATAACCATGCCAAGGTTATTTCTGACATCTTATGCCTTTTCCTTTCTATAACAAGACAGCCTTGAAAGAGAAGAAAAGGCTCAAAAATTCTCAATGAACCAGTTCTGCCATTTGCATGGGCCATTAGATTTGAGTAGTGCATATAAAACAATTTTTGAATGCAAAGCACAATTTACAAATCTTTTGTCAGAAATCACCTACTACAAAAAGGCATTTCTAAAATCAGTGTATCTAGACATACTGTTCCACATTGATTCATGGATGTGTATCAAAAATCCAAATTTAACAAATTTCGCCTAAAGTAAGATGTATCTGATGAATGTAATTTTTCTCTCTCCAGTATTTTTGCTGGCTCCCAGCAGGTGTTCTCATGAAATGCTGGCTATGCTTTTATGTAGGGTCACCTGTGTGGTTTAATGTCTTTGTGATCAGGAATGCACAAGCCGTTCCCGTGCGTCTCGCACCCTGTTTGATTCATTCCTGAGTTACAGGCACGTGCCGCACTCTGCCGAGACCACCGAGTGCTGGGTGCCAAGTGTCCGATTTCTTGCAGCAGCTTTGGTGTCTTCATCCTTCTCTCCTACCTCCATGAGTGCATACAGCCTGAGTTCCCTCAACATGGGGACCTTACCTCGCAGCCTCTACTCCACCAGCCCGCGCGGGACAATGATGAGGCGGAGGATGAAAAAGAAGGACTTCAAAAGCTCCTGTAGGTGGTAAAGCAACTGCTCAACATGTGCAATGAATGGGTGAGGAGGGGGAAGGTCTCGCAGAAAGGCACCAGGTACCTTACTGAGTAAATGCTACTCAGAAGAGGGAGCAACTGGAGTTTCTGTTAGATGTGGGGAAGCACCAGCATAAAAATTATTTATGCGATACTAAAATGAGATCAGTAGAGGCTGTATGGCTTGAAGATCTCATCTGAAACCTAAAATGCCCTGCTTTCTTTAGACCAACCTGCAAGGGCTTGCCATAATGATACTGCAGTGATTTTAGTTCCTTTTTCGACTCTTCCCTTTAACATCAGGGAATAAAATTCATAGTCGGTTAGTCATGAACAGATTATTGGTAGGCTCAGCCACCACATAAGAGAAGAAGAGGCTGCCACTGTAAAGTTTTAATATTTATATCTAGACCAGCACCTGCCCATTTTTTTCCCAGGTAGAATGCCAAATCACAGTGAAGACTCAGCAGCCTTGATTCTGGCCACTTTCCAGGGTTCAAAACAGGGGTTTCCTATGTGCTAGTAATTTCCCTATTTCAGTGCGTTCCACTTTGTCCATCATTATTCACTGGGCCGGAGAGCAATGATCAGAGCAAAATCAGAGCCAAACAGTAACCTCCAGCCAAGACCTGTGACTATGGAATCGAGAGGGAAGATTTGAGAGAGGAATCGAGGTTTTGCTTTCTCGTAGAAGTTTTTGTTGCTTGCTTGTTCGTGCTTTTTTTTTTTTTTTTTTTTTTTGTAAAGCAGATATTTTTACATAACTTTTGCCCGTAAGTACATTTTTGCTTTTAATCCAATCAGCCATTTACCACAACTCATCTGCTGACATGCTGGCTTCTAATACGTCCTTCTGTATTACAGGGAGCTAGGGTGCTGTCCATAGTAGGGTGTCAGTAGAGGCTGTATGTGTTCTCATGAGAGAACATGTAGTACTTAAGATACAGTTGTACTATTACACTTATATATTTGAATGGTAAAGTGATGTCTGATGCAAAAATCTTTCTTAGATTGTGATATATTGTAAGACTATTCTCTACAACAGAAGACTGTTAATCCTGGAAGCAATTTTAGATGTGGAAGAAGGCTGTTATTTGCATTTTTTTTGGTTGTTGTTTTTCAGATATTTTTCATTCAGTGAAGCATAGCTGTGTAATTTGCAGTCATGCAAAAGTTCAGATTTTGGGCCTTTACGTCCAAAGATGTACATTAGATTTAAGTGGGACAGTCACATAGACACAGCACCCCACCAAAGAGATAATCCTAAAGTGAGAACGCTGTGAGAATGATAATCTGCTGTGGATTAAGCAAATCTCTAAATACCAGACATCAGGAGGAGGCTTGCTCGTGGGTAGTTTATCCCACATTTAGCTGACCATGAGGTGTTCATACAGCTTCCCAAAACATGGGGGGTGTCCCCGTCCTTGAGTCTGCGTGCGCTTCCCTACCAGCAGTGACTGCAGCAGCATCCCTGAATCAGAGGAACTGGCTGCTTGTCCTTTCCCATGGTCAGCCCAAAAGGAGATCCTCACTTCTGCTGCTAGACTTCCACCTCTAACTTAGCACTCATCAATGTAAAGACACCCGGGGGACTGAATGTGCAATGACTTTGCCCTCTCCCTGTGTGCGAGGCTTGTGAGCAGCAGGTAGCACTGACTGCTGTGCTTTTCCTGGAGAAGGAATAGCCTCTTGTCTTAATTTTAGCAATCATTTTCTTAGTCCAGTTGGACTGTTTGAGGTTTTTTTTTTTTATGTAACTTCTAATAAATCTTTTGGGATGTTATTTGGGGAGAAAAAGATATATCAGTGAAGGGTGCTGTAAAGTTTTCATTGCCAATTATTTAGGAAAACCTACATAACTTAATGTGATCGTCCCAGAACTCGTGCAGATGAAGTGTGATGAGGTAGAGGCTGTAAGCCTTTTATGACCGTGAGTTTGCAATCATTGCATTACTTATGTAGATCTTTCCAAACATGTGGCTATAAAACTTAAAGGCATGCCCTACTGTCATGTGCTTTATTTCAGCCATTTGTTTTCCATCTTTAATCTTCCTATGCTTTTTCACTTTTAAAATATTGCACTTATTGTGGAAAAGCGTATACTTGGTTAATGCTTAAATCTTGAAGTATTTTTTAATAGGTCCATATTAGTACTTGAAAGTGAGAGGCACTTTTATGCCAGCTTACAAGATAGTTATCGTGGCTGCATGTCTGGTAGCAATTAGTAGCAAGGAGCCTCTGCTCGGCACAGCTGAGTTAGCTGCTACCAGCAGGAACAGAAACATTTGACATTTTCCAAAGTTCAGAGAGGACTGCAGGCACAGTAACCCATAAAGTTACCTTTAAAGACATCTTCTTCTGCTTCTGTCATGTCTACAGGAATAAAACAAACAAATATATAACTTTCAAATTCAAGATTACAGATTTACGTACTACAAGGGACTTACTACACTGGTCCCCACGGTTGTTGCCATCTTGCAGTTGGATGCAATATATACAAGTATGCTAAAACGTTCCCCTAGCATGAGGAAACAGGGTTCATTGGAACCATATACACATTCACGGACCCCTTTTAATGCCGTGAGATTCCTGGCAAGGGCAGTTTCCCTGGCTGTAAAGCTTCAAACCCATCAAGAAGCCAAAAAGTGGTACCGTGTTTCTTGCCACAGCCATCACTGAATTGGAAACCCCAACAAGTTTTAAGTGAGATTTTGAGATCCCTCTGATATTTTATATAGCCTTAGCAGAGAGCTCTTATTGCATACTTTGGAAAGAATATTTTCATATCTGCTTTTCATTCCTGTTTCTGTTTTGTTGGTTGTTTTTTTGGGGGGTGGATGTGACGGATGGAAGTCATTAATGGTCACTTGTAAGAGTCCATATAATGAAAATATTTATTAGGCTGCTAAAATGCACAAATAACCTTGAACTAACTATACCTTAACTATCTTCTCACAAATATTAATTTGACAATGTGAATGAAAATCTTAACTATCCTAAAACTCAAAATAAATGCTGTAAGGCCTTTGAGATTTCTGAGTATAGTACCAAGAAAAAAATATGAAAGTTAGAGATGTCTATCCCCTTGCTGCAGAGAAGGAATGGACAGCTAAGTGATGGGAGAATTGCAGCTAACAAGTGGAATGATTATTATATGATCTTAAGAGAAGGAGAAATGCACTTTTCTGAGTTTTCACACACCAAACTTAGAAATTTCTGGAGGATGGAATTGAGATCTGATACTAATAGCTTGGAATTCATCAGATCTACTCATATTTTGAGCCTTTGAAGTGCTGTAAGTTGGAGAAACCCATATTTCACCTGCAGCACTAAAGCTGGGGGCCAGATATAGAATAGATTTTTAGCATTTAACTTTGGATATGAACTTATTTTACGCAGTACATATAGAGGAAATGGTAAGGAATGAAGATTTTGAGTAAGTACACAGTTCTTACATAGGGCTTTTTTTAAAAAAAAAAAAAAAAGTGAAAATTCACAGTAATTTAGATAAGACAGTTGTTTCAGAGTCAATTCAAACCTGAAAGAAGGTTTGCTGGGAAAACAAACTCATGAGTTTTGCTTGAGAAGTGAAACTTTTGCAACAGAATTGTTAATGAATTGTTATCACTAAATTTATGTCATAATTCAGATTTTAGACTAACTAGGGGAGAACAAAGGCCTCAAAGTGAAGGAAATAAACAAGGGAAACCTCTGAGATCTCTCTACCTCCATGCTAATAATATCTGTAATGTAAAAAGACAGTTTTTTCCCACACTTAAAATACTCCACATTTAAAATACCCCTTTAGATAAGCCATGGAAGTTTTATCTAGCTCTTTGTAGCTACTGCAGGCAGAAAGAGGTCTTGAAGGAATTTAGAGGTGCAGAAAGCAGTGAGATAGATTTTCAGAATTCTAGGCACTGGAGGAGTGTCATTGTAATATAATATATGATTACTTGCATGATATGAATAGGAATCAAAAAAAAATTTAGTTTTATGCACAGCACTTCTCATAGTGCTGTGGTTTCCAGAGTGCATGGAAACAATGCTAAAATACACTTTCAGGGGGAGATTGAAGTGAAGGCGCAGTGTGCTGCCGCCGTAGGTAGTCACACAGGATCTCCAATGTTGCTTTCATCTTGTTCTGCAGTGCAGCCTCCCAGAGCGAGAATACAGGAATCGGGAAAATAGGGAAGCAGCTGTCTGCATGTGTCACGGGAAGGGCTCCCCAGTCTCTCTAAGCAAACCCACAGCTCTTTTTGCTCACCATCTCTTTAAACACACAGGTTGATAAGACAGGGAAGGTAGCTCGACATGCATTACGCAGCCAGCCTCACATACCTGTTGGCAGGCCGTGAACGCGCTCAAGCTGATGAGAGGAAGGCCTCCTTCTTCCTTGCATGCAAGCCCAGATACGTGCTTTGCTGCTAGCAGCAGCACCTTGCTGTGAGATGCTCCCAAAAGCCCCTCGGAATCAGCCTGAAAAGCAGATGAGGTTGTGGCTCCTATTCCCTTAGTGCCTTTAAAAAACCTGTTGTCCATGCCTCAATCTTAACCCAAGCAGGATTCAGGGGTGTTCTGAGGTTTTTGGGGTGGGGGACCAAGCAGATTTGCTTTGAACTATGTTTTTGCATTATACTCTGCAAGCGGATGCTTTCTGTTTTCTTATATATCATAACTATTTATGCACCATTATCCTAAACGGAATTTAAGAGCAATGTCTCCATGACTAGGTTTATGGTACAGATCAGTTTTATTGAAGAGCAATGAAATCTCTGCTGCCGGCGTATGAATGTCTTTCCCCCTGCTCTGCTCTCTTTTATAGTGTCTTTAGCCTCTAGCACCGTTGGTTTGGCCGGGCAGGTTGTGCACACAGAGACCACAGAAGTAGTGCTGACAGCTGACCCCGTTGTAGGGTTTGGGATACAGCTCCAGGGTAGCGTGTTTGCTACAGAGACCTTGTCTTCTCCGCCCCTCATTTCCTATATCGAGTCCGACAGTCCGGCAGAAAGGTGAGATTCCCTCAGACAACTTCCAAGCGCGTTTTGGTGAGCATTCCTCCGGGTGTTTGGCGCTGGTTGTTTGGAACTGGTGATAAATTGCAGAGCCTTGCTCAGTGGAAGGGTGGCATGTAATAAACTGTCTGTTCTGACAAGAATATTTCATATTCCTGATGAGCTGTGAGAAAAATGACAAGCACCAGTGCCTTGATCATCCAGAGTCCTCCAGCAGGAGATTGGAAGTTATATTCATTAGAGAGGGAAAAAAATCATCTACTTCTCTGAAGTCAAATAGTAATAATTCAGTGTGCCATGGGGGAAAGCCTGCTCTGCTTCTGCTCAGCTTTAGTATGTATGAAACCTTAGGAAATACTGGAGTTTTGATTTGCTAGCTGTTTCATTGCAGCATTTCTCTTGCACTTATATGCTTGTGTATCTTTTTAATCACAGCATGAATTCATATGGAGCAACCATAGTTGTGCATGCAGCTGCTAGTTGCCACTGCAGAGCTACAGCATCTGTAGCCAGGGTCAGAGACCATGGTGATGGCCATGGATGGGGTGCAGGAGCCAAGGCTGGGGTCTCGCTGCCCACGCTGGGAGTGTTGATGGTGCCAGAGGGGCTGCACAGGATTGTGTTGCCCTTCAGTAAATCAGCGCGTGGGTAAATTCTTGAACTGATGTATTATTCTTTTTTAAGGCTACATTGGGTGTTTTTAATAGTACTGGTCTGGATAATGTGCATGTCTAAAGATTGTTTGTTGTGTTGTTGTGTACCGAGGTGTGGGGTCCTGCAAATCGGAGACAGAATAGTGTCAATAAATGGCATCCCGACCGAAGACAGCACGTTTGATGAGGCCAATCAGCTGCTCAGGGACTCCTCTATCTCCAACAAGGTCACTCTGGAAATAGAGTTTGACGTTGCAGGTATGAACATATTATCATTCTGGCTTCTAGAGAAAAGAAGGAATAAATTCCAAATATATTGTGATTGTTAGGCATCCGGGATAGGGACTTTCTTCTCGCAGGCACCACTCAATTGTGAGGTGAGCTGTCTGATGAGGGTGCCTTTTTGTGCTGCTCATTGTGCTTAGCCCTGCGCTGTGGTTCAGAACACAAGTAGAAATGACAAGTCCTGTAGAAAGACCTGGTGACAGTCTTCCCTCTGAGTTATTTCTGGACTTATTTCTGCCCTGACATAGGAATATTTTGCTAAGCCAAGACAAATCCTCTACAGGGAAGTTAATGAAATGTTTTACTATACAGAAAAGCATTATAGAAGAGCAGACAAGCAAAAAAATTCTTCAGAGTTTTGCTTACAGTACCTTTAACCAACAAGCTAAATAAAGAAATAGAAATAGAGCCAATAAAACCTGGAAAATCATTGTTAATGTCGTTGGTGAATCTTTAAGATTACTAATGCCTTTCTCCCATTTCCCCTGTAATGCTTTTAAGTATATAGATGCACCTATAAAATCACATATTATGTAAATCAAATGAGCACACCCTGTGCATGTGCATTACCCAACCCACTATGTAAATAGGAAAAACTTTTATGACTTCTGTGCTGACCTGACAATAGCTCCTTTGAAGTAAGAGCATTATCAGATGTTCTCTATTTTGCACAGTGTAATTGCTATTAATGGTGTTATAAGCCTTGATGTCAAATGGAGGCAAAAGATTCTTAGTGTAGTAATTCTAAGTGATGTTTTATTATGCCAGTGTCTACAATAACATAAAATTAGGCCAAACGCTATACATTCTTTTGGATATGTAGGAAATGGAGGAAAACGTAGCAAATAGAAAGTAAGAAAACAAAATAATGAGAGTGCCGTTTAAACAAGTCTCAAGCCGCAAAGGACGAGGAGGTTTGTGTTTCAGTCTCTGCATTTATTCATGTTGCTCCCATTTGCTTCAAGAGAGCAGACCTCAGCTCAGAGTTAGACCCTCCTGCAGGGGTAGGTTCTCGTGCTTACACTGCCACAATTTCAGCTGGATTCTCTTCAGGCCAAGGCCCAAATCTGGGCCAGCAGCAATGCCAAGTGTCAGATGCAAATGCAGTGCTGCGTGTTCAAGTGGTTTCTGCCTCAGCCAGCACCAGACACTTCTTCATTAGTAATGTTTGATTCTTTTTCTTCCCAGGAGATGTAAAATCCATGGCAGTTAACTTAGTGGACATTTCGAAATGCATTAGTCCTACAGCAATAAAGGCCTAAAATCCTTAAGACTTGATTTTCTGTCCTTTTAATTAAAATCTATCTGCGAGCACGAAAATTTTCATGAGTGCTTACAGAAATTACGCGTGAGCTGAAAACCTGCAGTCTCAGCTGTCTGGTGGCCCATGCAATCTCCATAAATTCAGTTAAGCCTTAAAAAAATTTGACTTACCGTGAAATTGCCAATAGAGGTATAAATCATATTTCATATGTCCTACTTCTTTCACTTCAGCATGTATGTTTTGACTGTGGCTATGTTCCTGATGTGATTTAATTAATTTTCACATACAGTTACATTTACTCGGGATTGCTGTGTCTCATAATCTAACATTTTCTAATTTCTTTTTAATAGAATCAGTTATACCAAGCAGTGGAACATTTCATGTAAAGCTACCAAAGAAGCATAATGTGGAACTTGGCATCACCATTAGTTGTAAGTGAAAGTGCTTATTTTAAAAACTGCATTTACAGGATAATCTACAGCTAAGTACAGCTAAGACCTGTCTATGCTGGGATGGGTACTGAAACCTACCCCAAATTCCTGCTGATAATTCTGTTATTGAAAACTATCAGTGTCCACTAAAAACTAGTGGACTGGACTGGTTCTCATGCAGTTTCCATGGGAGTCTCCTTTCTCTAAGATTTTCAGATTGCTGAAGAGGATAAGAAGGGCATGTACTTGTCTGAGGCCAGAATCTGGCCTTCCTGGAATTAGTGTTCTGTTACGGTTGTGTCTTTTCTTAGACTGTTAGTCGTTTGGGATTTATTCATATGCATTGGGTGGAGATTGTCCTTTGACTTACATTTTCAAAGCTTTTCCCACCACAAAGAAATAAAACTTATCAAAAGTACAACACTCAGTTACTTCCAAGGAACAAATGAGAGACACTGCAGACCTGTTACACAGGGGTGTTAAATACCTGATTGAAAAACTGTTAGGCTCTGAAAAAAATGGTTCTTGAAGCAAAATCATAGGTCTGGATATACTCGTGCAAATAAAAGTATTGGAAAATAAGAAAAACTATAGAGAGACTGCTTTATTTGAACAGTAATTTTGGCATCTGTAATGGTCTGTGGGATTCTGGTAGAAATATTGTCTTCCTATTAATTTAGTTAATATTTGATTTTGGAGTTCAGATACCTAGTACTTTTTTTGTCTGGTGGTAATAAACATTGAATGGAAAGTTAATGTGTTTGGTATGTATATTTAGCACTCTCAAACTCTGCAAACCTTCCTTTCTTGTAACTTAATTTCTTTTGGTTACTGCTTTATGTTCAGAGGACCACCTAGTTGGTGTTAGCTCTACTCTTCTGAATAGGCTGCAGTATATTTAATATGTAATATATAATAATCCCACCATTGAGTAGCATTTAATATATATGAACTGGGCCTAAGATTGTTTAACTGTTTGTTTTTAAAGAATTTATACTAATAATGGCAACTTTGCAAATTTTGCTTAGTAAAAGTCTTCAATTACATCTTTTCATGTTTGCTTTTCATCACTCTGCTTTGTTCTAATTTATGCCCTAAATGAAGCAGTGTGATTGGAAAAAAAGTGAGTGTTTTTAAATTCATTTTGTCAAATTTTTGTCAGGACATTGTATTTGGTGATGCAACTACAATGATTTGCGTCCCTAGGTACCTGGCTGGAACAGTTAAAATATCGTGGGTTTTAAAATTAAGTCATTCAAAGATATCCTTACTGTAACGAACTGTATCACCTTGCTTCATAAGTCATCTCTCTGAAGTTAATGGGACTACTGGTAGGAATGTTAGGATCTCCAAGCAGAGCCAGCTTAGATCTCTGGCCTTTTTCCGCTGAGTTTTGAAAATATCCAAGGATAGAAGTTGCACAGTCTCTCTGTGCTCATGCTCTTTGCATCTAAGTTGCACTATTTTTTAATACCAGCAAATGCTAGAGCAGTATCTCTCTTCTTCCTTCTCTCACTGTCCCCAGTGTAATTCTGTCATCTGGATCCATGAGGTGAATCTCGGGGAATTTTTGCCTGTTTGTGGTCTTTGCAAGTGGAAGTTTGTTGTTTGACAGGGACAGTTCCTTAGTGGTTTTTTTTTTTTTTTAATAACTTAGAAACTGCATGTAAAAAATGGAGAGTTGAGGCTGTACAATGTCACTTCCTTGGGTTAATTAATTAGACTGTGTTTTTGTCGACCTGCACAGGCGAGTAGTCCTTGCTCGCTGGGACTCTTGCTTCCCTGCTTCCCAAGGAGAGATGGAAGTGGCTGTGTAGCCAAGAGGGCTGATGTCTCCAGTGCTCCTGCTTCCTTTTGGGTTTGGATGGAGCTTGCATAATGGATGAGGTGGAGGACTGCAGAAAGCAAGAGGAGGTGATCTCATGGTCAAGATAGTTTAATGCTACCCTGGAGAAATTACTTTTCCGAGCGACAGAGTTATGTTGAGATGCTAGTCATTCCATAGGGGAGATGAAACAAAATCCACAAGTGGCTGCTTGATTTTTCTCAGGAACCATTGAGATCCTTGGATCAGATTTGCTGAAATGCTTAGCATATGCAGCAATAGTTGAAAATACAAGTAGTTGTCATTTGAACATAGATGTTATTATTACTCATTACAAACTATTGTGAAAAAATAGAATCTCTAATTGCTCACCCAAATTAGCCATACTTTGACCTAAATGTTCCCATACGTCATTTCTTCATCTATTGAGTAAGGCTAGTAATGTTCGGTCTTATAGGAGACAGCCTGTTCACTAGGATGCAATCCTAGTCTATGATCATGTGCCGTATGAAAGCTCAGGAGGAAATCAATTATTTTCTCTCTGCAACACAGCTCAAATAGTTGCAGTAAGGATGTCACGAACACTGAAGTGCATGAATAAAACTCTGTGGACTATCTGCTTTTTAAAGGCTTGTGAACATGGGGGTAGGTGGGTTATTTCACATAGCATTGTTTGCTGCCTAGTCTTTCTTTAGAACTAGAGGAAATGGTCACAAGCTGAAGCACCAAAAGTTCTACAGGAACTTAAAAAAAAATTCTTGGCATCGAGGATGAGAGAGCCCTGGAACAGGCTGCCCAGAGAAGTTGTGGAGTCTCCTCCTTTGGAGATCTTCCAAACCCGCTTGGACGCAGCCCTGTGCCCCGTGCTCTAGGTGACCCTGATTGTTTTCAGTCATTCTCTTAATTTTTATGAAAGTCGCTTAATAAGAAGGATCCAGAATAATAACAAATAGGACAAGAACAAGTGGGCTCAAGTTGTACCAGGCAGGGGTTCAGGTTAGCTATTAAGAAAAAATCTGCATGGAAAGAGTAGTGAAGCATTGGAACAAACTGTCCAGGGAAGTGGTGAAGTCACCGTCCCTGGCACCTGGCAATGTTCAAGAAACGGGTAGATGAGGCACTTAGGGCCATGGTTTAGCAGGCCTGGTGTTGAAGGCCTTATGGTTGGACTCAATGATCTCGAAGGTCCTTTCCAACCATAATGATTCCATGATTCTATGATCTGAGTATCTAGATTTTCAAGTGCGGGCATTGCACAGCAGGTAACACATAACAGCAGACATTTAGGTATAACCTAGAAGGTAAAAACATAGCACTTAATAGAAATTTCATCAGAATTAAACTGCACATTTGTAAGAACATGCTAACTGGCGAGACAAATCTGAAGTTTTAGTAAATCACAAAACCGTGTCATATAATTAAGACGTGTTGCATGTATGGAAGTATGAGAAACAATCTGAAAATTGTACAGCTTGCAGAAATTTATTTTCTGTTCTCTAAGTTGCAACATATGTCTTTTCAGAAAGTGTGTTTTTTGGACAAAGTTCTCAAATTTCTTGGAAATCTTTGTACCTCTGTCTTCTGGGTTTTCAAGACAGCGTGTGGGAAATACAGCTATTTAGCAGCAGTTAAACAGTTCCTTTGTAAATTCAAAGGCTTTTCTGGCCAGGACAGCCAAGATTAACCAGGATCTGTTAGAATTTTACTTGAAATGTTGCCATTTTTAATGCATCTTCTGGTTGTTGTAGGAGAAGATCTGTCATTTTCCACCAAACAGAAGACTCATGAGCTGCTAAAGTTACTGACATCTGATACCGATTGCTGTGTCAGATCTTCAGTACAATCTTCTGTCAACAAATGCATGAAACTTCTCAAAATACAGTGCTAAATGAAGCTGCTCCAAGAAGTGTTCTTCTGGAAGCAATCAGTCCTTATCGTCTTCTCCCTGTGGTTTTCTGGGGTAGTGAACTGCTTCCCTTCCAGCCAAAAGTCAAGGAAAATTGCTGACTGGCAGCGTGGATGGCTAAGCAGAGCTGTCTCATTGAAATATGTCAGATGTCTCAGCACAAACCATTAACTTATTGCAACAATTGGCATCATAGAGCAGAGACACCTTTTAACCATGATGGATAAATAGCAAGTGGAAGGTTATGTCAGATATCTCCTGAAAGAGATGTGCAAGGAGGGGATTGGCAGTAATCTGACTGTTGCTGGCATTGCAGTGTCTCTCCAGTACAGAGCAAGGAAAAATCCACAGTACTTAAGGCTCTGCACTAGTTTAGAGGAGCAATTTCTCATCAAAAGGGCCACCAGTTTATTTCAGCGGGAACAATGAGTGATGTTGAAGTGAGCAGCCATGCCATGGGAGCTACATCTGTGCAGAGTGCCAACTGCATATCAACCACTGTGTTTCTTAGCTCTCCATAGCATCTCATTTGTTGTGAAGGAGCTGTCCCCTTTCTCACTCTATAAGAACCATCTTCTTTCCTCTGTCTTAAGCACTAGAGACAAGGGTGGATGTAAAGGATTTGGTCTCCTCAGTAGAAATGTGACCAAACAGCTCTGTTGATCAGGGCTATAGAAAAAGATGGTTTATGTTTGACAGAAGCTCCACATCAGTAGTTGTGCTGAAAGTTTCTTCCAACAAAAGTCCTCCTGTGTGTGTTGTACCTACACAACATATTATTATATATCACTGCAATTTTACCATGATACCTTTGCATGGTTCAGTCCTAGCGTAACCCTGAACACAAACATGTCAGGTTGAATTGATTTTGCAACAGTCACCTTAATTCTAGTAATTTCTACTTTTTAGGAGTTTAAAATCTTACTGCTTTTGTTTGTTTTTATGTGTGTTTGACATAAGGGGGAATAAATAAATACAATTATATAAAGTGTATGAAATACTGATTTACATTGATAATTAGTCCATGTGAATATACACAAATAAAAAGAGATACTTGTATATTCTTTATTGCAGCTCCATCCAGTAGAAAACCAGGGGACCCTCTAGTTATTTCCGATATCAAGAAAGGAAGCGTTGCTCACAGGTGAGATATTCAAGCTCCCAGGAGAAATGTATTTCCGTCATATAGCCAGTAAGACTCAACTCAAACTGAGGGAGCTTGCAAGAGACATTTACTTTGCACATGCTAGTTACAAGTGACATAGCAACCAAGTAAGAAACAGTTTAGAAAAATGTACGTTGTATGCTAATATCTTCTAAAACATCTTGATTTAATAACTTGCTAGTATTTGATATAAGCCTGTTTGTTTGTTCACAGAACCGGGACTCTAGAACTGGGTGATAAGTTGCTTGCAATCGATAACATTCGGCTTGACAATTGCTCAATGGAAGATGCTGTCCAGATCCTTCAGCACTGTGAGGACCTGGTAAAGCTAAAGATCCGCAAAGATGAAGATAATTCTGGTATTAGCAATCAGCCTACTACAAATTATGTGTATTTTCAAGTTTTTTTTTGGATATTTGGTTAATCTTTTGCATTTAGAGAAATGACTATTATTAAACATTCCTGATTTTTATGATGCTAATTAAAATATGTCAAACAAAATCAAGGGTTTTTAATTTTTGAGATTATCTCAGTGACTGTCTTGCCTTCAAGAGCAGTGCTGCAAAAGGAGGTCTTCTGTATTTTGAAAAGCAGTTTCCCTGCAGATGTAGCCACATAAGATTGATCTTTCTCTTAAAAGCATATTGAAATGTTCTCTGCTTTTAAGACTGGAATCATGGATAGCAAAGCATGGTCCTTAGGCCTCAGTTCTCCCCCAGAGTGGTGATGCTTAGGCCATAATCATATAAACTTGACTTCAGTATGACAGTTCACATGCTTAAAGGTAAGTAGCACTTTACGTGCTGTGCTGGATAGCTGATAGGGGAGCAATGTATGATCAACCTGACGGATTCGCTGAAACTGCCATCATTTTGCACACTTATAACTATTAATATTCCTTTTTATTCCTTTATTCCTTTTAATACTGATTTTATTCCTTTTAATAGTAATTTTACGGAATCCATAGGAGAAAAATTTTACCTGAAGATAATAAAGCAATTTCTGTTATGCATTCTGGCAAGAAAGGAAGCCTGATAATTATAACTGCTGTTATTACTGCTATTTATATTATGGTATTACATAAAGGTATGAACTATAGATTCACTTGTCTTAAGCTCTGCACAGTCTCACAGCAAAGAGGCGCTGCCTGTTGCAGCTTATTATTTAAGGAGATTAATCAAATATAACTGTCGAAATGCTGCTTAGAATTGCACTCAGATGCTTTTAATTGATAGAAATCTTTTCTACTTCTGAAAGCAAACAGAAAATATCTCCTCAGTATAATCATGCAGGCAAAGGAGGATGCATCTAGCATCTAGTGAAAATTAGCTTTCAGAGATAGTTTTTATGCAGCAAGATGCATGGTTATTGTGGACTTCGATGTTGTAGTTAGGCCCTGGCAGGTGAGGAGGAGGAATGTTTTTCAGTTCACAGTCCTTCCAGGACAGCTTTTTTTCCATTGAAGTTGATACATATTTTCTGTTATCTCCACTGAAGTGTGGATTTTAGTCTTTATCCCCATGGAAGACATCTTCCATCTCTTAGATACTGCACACGAGGGTAGATGATAGTGCAGATTTTAGTCTGTGTGGGATTCTTATTCCATAGGATACAAACGAGTATTGCTTATTTAATGGTTACAGTATGTATGTGTCAGTACCTCTGTACCACGATTCTCATACAAGCACAATATCTTATCCAGAGAGGACTGATGTATCTGAGCATATTAATTTCAACTAGTCAGAGACCTACTAAACAATATTATCTGCACAAGTGGTTCTTGCAACAGCTGAGTAACTGCCAGAGCATAATTAAAAGTGTTTAAAGCAGATTTCAAACATTTGAGTTCTAAAATGAAAGTGTCCCTTGAAACAATTTAAAAAATAAAAATTAAAAAGAGTGGCAAAGCAGTAGCAAAGGTGTAACAAAAAGTGCACTTCATTTAAAATCAGTTTTAATTGTATTTGCCACTTACGAATGCCTGACTGATTTTTCTCACAAAAAGAGCAACTGTGCTTCCCTTACAGCACAAATGATTAATAAGTTCCCCAAGAAGAGAAAAGCCCTATGCTAACAGATGGATAGGCATGGAGCACTCCAAAACAATTTCTAATTACAGAGTGAGATTAAGATTTTAACTTTTTTAACCTCTCATGATATCCTTTTTGAGAAGGGCAGACAGAGAGGAAGGCTTTCTGCCTCCCTCTCTCTCCATCTTTAAAAGTTTTTCTTTTGATATTTATTTCAATGTATTTTGAGCTGCTTTGAGCTGTTCCTTCTGTTTTTCCTTCCTCTGCACTCTCTCCTTTTCCTCACTGTGCCAGACAGTTGTCTATAATTCAAAGCCCTGTTCCTCATACCAAACCTGCAAGCAGAGTCATGGCAGAGTAATACATGTCAAGTGCTCCCTCGGGCTCTGCACTTTGGTCTGTATTGATGACATATTCTGAAAAGCAAGAGACCAGTGGGCAGAACAGACACACTTCAGCGCAGGGAATCTACTTTTGTTAAATGTGGCTTCAAATAATTATCCACATTTGCACTACTATGAGAAAGGAAAAAAAAAAAAAAAAAAAGGAGATATGACAAGACATGAGACTCTAAAAATATATGATAACTGATTACATGCCTTCCACAGGTGGAAATAATGTTTTCAATAGAAAGCTCAATTCTCCTTTTTTTTTTTTTATTTTTCCTGACAGCTTCCCATTCTGAGGCTGATTTCATCTCCTGATTAACCTAATGACTGCCATGCTTTTTAAAATATCTGAATTCTTAGTCTTCGTGGCAAATCTAGTTTTTATTTATTGTGAATTCAGGCCACATATGTTCTTAAACATGAAGCCTTCTTGCTGCCTGGCAAAATGGCTGAAGATAATAGCACAGCAATTTGACATTTGTGGTGTTATATCATTCATTTTGTTAACTAGAGCTACCCAGAAGAAACACGTAATGTAGCAGTCTCCCTTTCAGTCATTGACTGAGATCTATGAACTTTCAACATTAATGTGGCAGGGCTGCTGCATGATTAATATCTTCTTATTCCCTTACAGCTGATAAGAGAGGAGCATCAGGGTTGTGTCGACACTTAGCAAATACCAGCTATTGCATTTTCAATTAGTTTGGTCATTTACTTTCACTCATTCTGTTAAGTGCTGAAATGTGTGCATGCCACAATTGTCTATGTAAATATTATCAATGGGAGATGTCAAAGGATTTGTCGTTGATCCATAATTGGTCTGACAGGCAATCAAAGAACTGCCACTTTATCTGCTGTACCGTGGCAGCTTCCTTGCTACCCCACTGTGTAGGGTAGGGTCTGGGACATTTTTTGGAAATAGCACATCAGGTAAAGCGTAGTCCTTGTCGAGGGCCCGGAGCCTGTTGATAATGCCCCAAGTAGGAATCCAAGGCCAACACGAGGTGGGAATGTTCCTCGCTGAATGAATACTGCCAATTCTTTTTCTCTCCTTGAAATGTGTATGATTTGTTCTATGTGGATAGCAAGTAGGAAGCAGAAGGGAGCAAGGGTAGGTGGAATGTGTAAAGTTTGCTGCAGTTTGGAAGCAGAGAAAATAGCTTAAAAATTAGCTTAGCGTAACTCCACTGCTATGCTAAAGTACCATGTTCAACATTAGAAGAAAACAGCTCTTCAAATCTTCCCTGGTGATGCAGGTTTCTTAATTTTCATTTTAGAATTGTACTTTCTACTTAAGCAAAATAGGGAGCATGTAGATGACTCCTAACTTGTCTCAGGTTAGTGCTAATAGCATTTGCTCAATAGTCATCCTAGATATTTTCCACACTCGTTGAGCCATTTGGAATGACACTACCCAAAGATCTAGGAAAAGCTGCCTGCCAGTGTTGGAATACCAAAATCATAAGATGGACAAAGAAGCTTTTACAATTTTGATCTGCAGAGAGAGCTGACATTTAAAACTTCAAAATACCCTCTCACAACTGGAAGCTATTACAGTTGTTTGCTCTACTACTCTGATACTTTCAGATAATATGTAAAGAACATGCACTATATTGATTAATTTTGCTGCAACACCTGTTAAGGTATTGTTTAAGGAAAAGTAAATTGCATTTAGATTAGCTGTTCTTCTTCTCCATTCTTCTCCATTTCTGGCTACTATTTGGTGAGACCAAGATTTGGCAATAATGCAAATGAAATCAAAATGATCATTTTATTTTTATATCAAATATTTTATTATATTTAATGATCATTTATTGTTTTCATTTACCTTAGTTGATAAACACAGAATTCAGAAGCTATTTTGGTTTATATATTTTACGAAAACTCAAAACTTGTCCATCAGAAACATGGCATATATTCCAGGTTTTTCCCGCTGTTAGTTTAAATAAGCTTGTTTCTGAAACTTCTAAATTCTCCTTGATTTCAAATGCCCTCCATTCAAGTCAAGGAACAGAAGAACAGTTGTGACATGCAATAAAATATCCTGAGTTACATTTTAATGGCAAGCAAGCTATCAAGATTTTAAACAAAGTAAAATTCACTTCTGCTAGAATGAGAGGAATTTTGCTATTGATTTCAATATAATCAGATTCTGGCAACAGAAAGAGATTGCACGAGAGAGATTTGTCTCTGAACATAAACCAGTATATGATTAAGAAGTATATCTGAAATGTAATCCTTTGAAAATGTGATTTGATTACCCATCACTAGTCTGAATGTGTTGTTTTTTTCATTCCCTCTTTCATAAGAAACCAATTGCATCCCCTTGGCATTTATTGCAGATGAACAGGAGAGCTCTGGAGCGATTATTTATACCGTTGAGCTCAAGCGCTATGGAGGGCCTCTCGGAATTACAATCTCTGGTACTGAAGAGCCCTTTGATCCCATAATCATTTCCAGCCTTACAAAGGGAGGATTAGCTGAAAGGTAAATTGAAAAACAAATTATTATGAAGCATTCCTTTTGTCGAGATCAAGGCTTTCTTTGTTCACATGAGCGTATTAACTTTCATGATTTAGCAATATTTTATTTATTTCTACAAATCTGAGTTAGCTATTCTTTTTTGCTTTGTTTTGTTCTGTTCTGTCTTTTTATGATCACTGCCAGGTTCAGGGGCCTATATTAACAGGATGTTCCTAAACATGTTGTACCAAACAGAGCACAGAATTGTGGTACTTACTATAACTCACCTAGGAAGGACCGGTCAGTTAAACTGCTCACTCACAGGAACATTTTAGCAGCCTTTTAAAATTCTTAGCCTTGTACAGTAGAATAGATAAAGAAAGGACTTTAGATGTTTAAGATTACCTGAAAACACACTCCTTCTCATATCCACATGCTGCATCTATATATGGAATTATATACGCCATAGGTAGCATTACTCAAGAAGCAGAAATGTTCCTCATAGTAAATGATAGAATCATGCCAATATTGAGTTGTTGCTAAGACCTGACATTTTAAAATGCATAGAGTATATTGCAACAGCTACCTTTAGTGATGGTTAAGAGAGAATATGCAGAACACAAAGCATAATAATGTGAACAGCCTGGATGAGCAGTACATTTACACAGCGTGTTGCTTTTCTTCCCTTGATATGATCCATCCTGAAAGCTACCCTGGTGAAATAGCTGGTTACTTGCTCACATTGCCATTATCTGTTCTGTTGCAAGACTTTTAGAAACATTATATTTATTTCAGAATTTGTTGTGCTACCTAACATTACACTTAAAAAGTTGAGCAGCAATGAATATCATCCATAGGTGATTAACTCAACCACTGCAGTGAAACAGAAATCTGCATCTCCATGGCTCAACTCTGCTTTTGTCACTACAATAAAGGGGACTTGCTTTAAGCATGGCTAGCAATAGAAGTACTCTATAACACAGCTCTAAGTGTGAAATGAAAGGAAGAAAGGGACAATTTCATGTGTCCTAATATTTAAAGAAACTGCCTTTGTTGCTTTTCGTGCTCCTCTTTTCACTGTTTTGCATCTCTCTTGCTTTAGGACTGGGGCGATTCACATAGGAGACAGAATCCTAGCAATAAATAGCAGCAGCCTGAAAGGAAAACCTTTGAGTGAAGCCATTCATTTATTACAGATGGCAGGAGAAACTGTTACCTTGAAAATCAAGAAGCAAACAGATGGTGAGTATGGCCAAAGTAGCACAAGTGCTCTTTAAAGAGTGTGTTTTTAAACATTAACAAGTATTTAAGCCATTCCCGGATAAAATGCCATGTAAGCAGTAACAAGCATGTGCTTCAAACTGCAGCAAAGCTATGTCTATCCCCTTGCTTCTTTTTTATAACCATCTTCAGCAACCAGTCCCAAGAAATTTTCTGTCCCTGGCCACGCGAATGAACTGAGCGATGCTGAGGATGAGACCATGACTGCACAGAAGCCTGGCAAGCTCTCGGACATCTATTCCGCTACGGTCCCAAGCGTTGACAGTGCAGTAGAGTCATGGGATGGCTCTGGTGTTGACACTAGCTTTGGAAGTCAAGGTACCATCAAGATACAACCGGTGTTTAAGGCAGAAATTACCTCCTTCATGGTTGACCTTCCTTTGCTTTAAATAGAACATCTGTACCAGCTTTAAGCTAAGCAATGTGCCCATGTCTCATTACGACCACACACTTTGCCAGGCAGCATAATTTCTTACACTTGGCTGGCCTCAGATTCATTCTTTTATGACAGTGTGATGCGTTATGAAGCATTTATCAATACATTACAGGCGTTTGTTAGCTTTACTGGCATCTGAATAGCCTAGTCCATAGCTCATCCACAACTAAATGAGTTTATCCTTCAATTGCAGATTAATGCAAGGCAGAGAACATACTGAGGATTTTCATGAATTTGAGCATTTGATGACCATTTGCAGTAATTTTTAACTGACGACAGAGAAGATTTATTTTAAACTGCTGAAGGGAGGACATCATACATTACTTATGATTTGTTAATCTCTTGCCTCTTCCTCATTTCTGAGACATTAATGTCTAATTCTCACGGCCCCAAAAGCCATCCTTCTGTTTAAAGAGATGATTTTAATTAACACTAACTTTTACACTTCTGTTTCACTCTTGTTTAATAGGATTTTCAAATAATTTCATTTTAGTTCATACAGGATAGACAGTGGGGGATACAGACACCTTGTAATATTCTAGATAACAAGAAAAGTAGCTTCTGATCAGCTTAAGTACTTTATTTAACTCTTTTTAAAAATGATTATTTCCATAGTAATTCAGGTGTGCCCAGTACCTTGTAGATACTTGACCAACTGCTCTTACCTCAGATAATTTTTTCCTGCTCACTCTGTCTTCGTGCCGTCAAAATAAATCATGTTAGATTTTCCTATGATTTTTAAAAGCTCTATCGAGAAGTATTGTGGAGAAAGTGCCAGCATGATAGTTGTTTCTTGTGTAAATAGATGATATTTGGAGCAAATCTGTTCAGCTCTGGAAATGGTTGAGGCCCACAGAACTTTCCTAAATCCCCTTCATTCAGACTTTGTGAAGAAACTACCAAAATTAAACCAGTATCCATCTCAAATGGTCTTTTCTAGCTGTCTTAAGAAAATCAGTTCTGGCTTAACTGGGTACATGCCATTTCTATAATACGGCCTGAGTGTACTCAAAATTGTGCCTTTTCCCTTGTCATGCTACCAATGTGGCCCATATTTCCATTGAAGTTCATTCTGTCTTGAGCTGTCAAGTTTGGCTTCCCTGCAAACCTTTCTTGGCATAAGCACAGACTAAGGAATTTGGGTTTATATAACCCAAAATAAGATATAAATTTACATGAATTTATAAATATAAATTCGTGTTTGCATAAAACCTAATATAAACTTGGGTTTATATAAACCCAAATAAGAGTTTGGGAAGTGTTTCTGGAGCACCAGATAATGCTTTATCTTAGTGGTTACTAATTTAATGCTGCTGAGCAGTCTTTTCTCTCCCGCTTGAATTAACACCACATTTTGCACCCATTTTTAGTGTGGCTGCCTCACAAATTGGGAGCCCTCTCCACCCGGCATTCACATTTTCACAACTGAAACCCTTCCTCAAACTTGTGAGTTAGAATCTGCCAGTTAGCTGGGGAAAAGCACATCCCTCTCTAGTTACCTGAGATTTCCGGGTAATTTCCAACTCATTTATCAAAGCGAATCACCTCATTAATGAGGTGACATTTGTTAGTCATCAGCAAAATAGAGCATCCTCATCCAACATGCGCTTCAGAGAACTCCACCTATAGAGACTGGAAAGCGAATGACCCAAGATCAAACAAATGTAGAGCAGCTCCACAGCGCTGGGTTTTGCTTAGCAGAATTCCCAACACCAGACTGTAACAAGTCAACCCATATGTTCTTCTGGCACATCCCTTGGAAGTCAGGCTGCGTCAGGATAGCAGGAATCCAAATTGCACTTAATTAAATATGAGAATACTATTGAACTAATATCAAAGTTGCTTGTGTGATAACACCATCCAGCACTAAACGCTTCAGCTGTCAGGGCTGCCTCATGGTACTTCCACAGCCTTGAAACGTTTGGAAAGGGCTGATAGAGAAATTGCTTTCCCCAAGGGGAACCTTCTAAGGAAGCCAAACATTTCCTCGTCTCTCAGAGCCCTGGGGAGAAGCCCAGCCATGGCAGTAGCTCTGTGAAGAGCAAGTCCCCCTTTCATTGCCTTGTTGGCCTTTTGCAGGACAGAGCAGCCGGGCAGGGCAGGGCTGTGATTGTGGGGAGGACACTCGAGTCCTGCTGTGAGATTAATGCTGTTAATGCACACTCCAGAGTCCCTGCACCATGCTGGTGTTTGCATCTACTAGCCATATGAGTAAGTGGCATCGTGCATGGTCTGTTCAACCAGAGCAGGAACTCTGTGCCACGCACATCCCGCGTGTCCCCTCGGAGCCTCTTCCGGGGAGCCTCACGGAGCTGCAGCCCGGCTCAGATTTTGGGTCTGCTGTCACAGTTGGATTGCAGCTCTGAAGGGCAAGAGTCCTCATCTCATATTTGTTACACGTCTGCTGGAAAAGAGCAGCTGGCCGCTGAGCAAATCCTTCGCGTGAATATGCTGCACTTACTTAAATAACATGCCCCAGAGATGCTCACGTGCGTCAGGGCTACACTGGCTTGCACTGTTCGGGAGGTGCTTCTGGAAGGAGAGCTGCATTAGCAATGCCCGCAAGCCAGCAAAAGCAGGGAGAACTCAGACTGCTTCTGCCATTGGCATTTTAGACTGAATCCCCGTGGTCTAATTATTTTTAAAGGTTAACCTAAACTATTTAGATAGGACCTTTTGTTATCTGATTGTAACAGAAACAGCGGGTTTCAATTATGTTTAAAAGTGCAGTGATAGCTCTACTTGTTAGAATCAACATTTTATGCTGTCACTTCAGTGAAGGGACAAAACAGATTAGTCTGATAATGTGCCAGGACATGTTTTGCTGCTGCTGTTCCATTTCCCCCACCAGGCAGAGGATGTTCTATGCAGTTACATTTAGTTTGTGCAACAGTGCACCTTACATGTGTTTTCTTACAGAAAATGGTCACATTTTGCCTTATTTAGGAAAAAAATAATGGGACATTAAACACATACTCAGTTCTGAAATCTGGAAGACTTGTCTAGTGCAAGGATCACAGAGATGCCTCCCTCACACACCCACTGAATAGAGTGATGAACAAACTTTGGATGCAGAGGATGTTCACTCCCATCCCCTGGCCATCTCAATGGCCCAACGTCCAAACCCCACTTGGCCACAGTGCAGCTGAGCTTCCATCAAGAATACCACAAAGGCACAAATGATAGTCAAAAAAATAAATAAATTTTGGATTAAAAGTGTTATATTTTGACATGTGGAGTATAGGGAACTGTCGCTCTTTCAAACTGTCTCTGCATCAGACCCCAGGCTTCAAGAAGGGACACTCACTTGGCACGGCAGAGCACTGCACTCCCTGCAGACATTCTCTGCATAATCTCCGTGCTTTTGCATGGGTGAGGCTGGCTATTTGGCCGTTCTTGATCCCCACTTGGATCAAGATGACTGTGTCATTGCAAAGTTGTTTTTCTTTGACTACTAGATGACATTAGTTTTTCACTGCACTGCTTCCAAATTTACCTAAATCACCAAGAGGCAGAAAGAACTTAGCCACCACCTAAGAAGTTAAGTTTTCTTTTTTAATATATCCTTGAAAATTCTCTTTTAATAAGTCTGAAGACTTTTATTTCCCTTAATAGATTATGTTAATTTTGGACATATTAATTTCAACATACTTTTTTTTTCACTAGTATTCAATTTACGCTATCAAATTGGAAAAAAATAATAAAAAATAAGAAACGTCCAGCACAGAACATAGCAGCTGAGATGCAGAGTTTTGATTTCAAAGCACAGCTAATTTAGGACATAATTTAGGTCACTTACTCTTCTAAATACCTGACCCTCAATATGAGGTTCACAACCTCATATACCACCTCAAACCTAAATACCTAAATTCATCTTTCTAGGAACCAGCAGCTATCAGGCTTCAGGATACAACTTCAATGCCTATGAATGGAGGAGTCCTAAGCAGAGGGGCAGTTTGTCCCCTCCAAGTAGACCACGAAACCATCCGTTTCATGATGCAGGTTTGAGTGATGATGAATGGGACCGATCTACAGCAAGTGGGTAAGTAAGTTTATGTATAAGTTTCCATTTGCTGATTTGCAGCTACAGATGTGCTTCAAAAGCCAACACTTGCTATTTGGAATTAAAATATAATTTTTCCAAGCCAGCTGTAGCAGCTCTCTCTTTAAATACAAGATATATAGCATTTGTAGTTGATGAAACGTATTAGGGTAGATTAGTGACATTTATGAAAGATTATAGTGTCAAAAGCAAGATGTTTATTTATTTGACTTACTTCAGATTAAGGAAAAAAAATCATAGCATATATTTCTTCAGAATAAAGAAACCGAAACTTCCCTTGAATAAACTGCACATGTGTTATGCAGGTCATAACTGATTGCCACACATCCCTTCTTGTCTAAGAAGTAAATTTGTAAATCTGCTCTTCAGTGCATGTGTCAGACAACAGTAGGAGCTTCCATGAGGGGAGAAGTTTGGGGATAGTGAAAGTCCCGAATCTTTATTCTAAAGGTCATCCAGCAGTAGAACTGTGGTGGAGACCTGGGTAGTTCCTGCTAAAGATCAGTTCCTCCTCAGAAGAGGAAAGGTAGACATCACATTTTATAAAATTTCAGTGCCTTTTGTACCTGTCCTCAGCCCTTGCAGGCATGTTTGTGCTTCATTAACACCAACGTTTCTTGGAGTAATGGCCCAGTGAGCCTGAAATCCCAGTCTATGAAGAATTCAAGTTTAACGTTGAAGCAAACCTTTCATATTCCTGTATTGATGTTTTCAATAAGTATATCCATAAAGTCTGGTCTACTGGTTTGGAAATGCAAACCACAGCCGGGGCAGATGACAGTGCTGCTCGTCAGAAGCTGAATGAAAAATCCTCTGATCCAGCAGATTGCCCAGTGGTATTTTTCAGCAGAGTCTAGATAGATCTTAGCTGAGAACCAGCAAGTACCTGGATTCAGTCCTGCTCTTGCTCCTTTGGTCCCTACTGACCAGCAGCATAGCAAAAGATTTCACAAGCTGAAGTGGACAGTAAGTAATAAAGGAATTATCATAGTTTTCCTCATTTCCAGTATGAGTTTTCCTCATACTTCCTGTTCTTAGTAAGTTAATATCTTTAATTCTACAGCAATGTTTTTATCCACAGTTCACCTCTGTGTTTAGCTTCTCAGACAAGATGCAGCCATAGATTGCAAAACACTGTTTTGGAGATACATAAGATATAGGCTGAAAGAGTTGATTAGCAATGAACTAGGAAACTCAGTGCTAAAAACCACAACTTTCTGAAAATAAAAACATGCACTCTACTACCATTTTAAAGCAAAATTCAATGGAAAGCATGCCCATTAAAGGATTTTGTTCTACTTGCCAATATGATTACACTTGAGGTGCACAGCATAAATGAAAGTGATGTTGATCTGAACGCAGTAAATGGATTATGCCAGGCCCAACTGATGGTGCTCCTGTAACAAGTGCCAGCGTATTTGAGAAGGGCCTGCCTGTTCCTGCAGCCTGTCAGAAAGATCTCCTGAGAAATGCCTCTTCTCTGCCTCCTGCTAAGCACTCAGTCTTCTTCTCTGGCACTAAAAAGTAATTTTTTTTACCTTTATTTTGTGTAGCACAGCCTCCAAGAATATGTGGCAACAGAAGGAGACTGAGCCATTGGGAGAGACTCAAGAAAACCATTTAAAGCAAGCTGCTGTAGAAAGGTCCGGGGGAGAGAGCATCAGGAGTGTGAAGAAAGAGGGCAAGCAATGGAAAGGTGCCGCTGGTGGGCAAAGGAAAGGTGGGGGACACCTGGAAGAGTGGAATACCCCCAGGTAGGCAAACCTGGAGTGCACAGGAGCGGCACCACCTGGGATGGGCTAGGGAGGGGAGGGAAGAGAGAAAGGAAAAAAGTTGGGATGATGGACACAAAATACATCACTAACAGGCCGGTAACAAGGACCTTTCAGTTGCCAAGTGTTTGGTTCCTTCAAGAATTTGAGTGAAATTTGCCTAATAATTTCAACTGGAGCTAGAAGCTGCTTTTTTTATGGCTGAATCTTCATAGTAGCATAGGATGGTAGTGGAAGGTCCCATTTTATAGCCAACAGCAAACAATGCCCATCTGGTTGAGAGGATTTGAGTCATCCTATCCAACGAAATTGGAAGAATGTCCAGCTGCAAACACCAAATTCTAGAGCATGTTATAGTTTCCTGGTGAAAAAAAAATTGGATTCAGCCCCTCTCATACAATAAGAATGAAATCATGGTCCTTATAACTCTAAATCTGCCCAAAACTCCCTTAGCAGTTTTGTGAATCTAAATTTCTGACAGCCAAGTATATTCACTGCAGAATATGTCACATGAAGCAAAATTTTGCACCCTTTTTTCTCCTGATACAGTAGCTCAGCTACAAATTGTTTTATTAATGTGGCTGTAATGCAGATGCAAAAGCCAAACACTTTACATACAAAAAGACATGATTTGGAGAAAGGGGGAAAGAAGAGGTGAGGGCGGGAAGAGGAATTGCTTCAACTCTGAAAAGACTGAGACCTGCAGCCATCATGATTTGAGGTTTCACAGGAGTCAGAAGAGGAATGGACTTATCCTAGCAAACCCAATCCTTGCTGCCTCAGAGATTTGCCTCAAAGAATCCTGTTCATTAATGAAAGGCCCATTTTACATTATATTTTAATATTAGCATATAGTGTATAGAAAGGCAGTGAATTAGATAAATTTATCAATATTCAATATTGGCTGTTAAAGTAACTACCTCAATTTACTGAAAGAGCTAGTTTCAGAAGCCAAGGATCTTTCTAAAATCCTGTTTAAAAAGTTTTCCTGTCTTGCCTGTGAGGAATTGCACCTGTGATGTGTGTAGATCTTCTCACCATTGCTGTATCTGCTGCAGCGTCTTAAAAGAGACCTGGTGTGAGATGGAGAATTGTTGCAAACAGGTTGAAATGGCCGGTGGTTGTATGCTTGACTGAGCATAGCTGTAGGAAGGCATCTCTGAGGCAGAGCATTGAGCATTCAAAATGACCTGTGTTGTGCTGGGCAAGTCTCCTATTTTGTTAGCAGTGTTAAATGCATGCCATTCTCTGCAATACTTTGTGGAGCAAGGCCTCGGATGCTTCCCTAATGGTGTTTGCTCTCGTTACACGCTGTTAGGCATATCTAGCTGCAGTCTGTGGGCAGCTGCTCTGAAGTACCAGCTTGTTGCCACCCAAAAGGGCAAATCCTCATTCTTTCCTTGCCTCATCCTTCCCCTTTGTCTTCCTGATCAGCAGCCTCCCTTGCAGCAGCTCCGATGCTTGTGGGAACCCTCATTGAACTGATTCCCCTTGTGAAGACAACAGAAAATTTCTGCTCCTCCCCACACGTACACTGTGATGGTGTCATGTTGGGTTGGCTCTCTGCAGCCCGTAATTGGCATTTTTTTATCTCATCGCTCTTACTGGGCATCTTGCCCGAGCCTCACTGTCACTAGTGCTTTGTTCAAAGTGCTAATAATAAGGCTTTGAGGCTTTCATGAAATATCAGGGACCTAGGTCTGCCTGTGTCCCTGAAAGTTGCTCTGTATTTGTGCATAAAGTGCCTGGAACAGTCTATACGATGGCAATCAGATGGAGTTAAATGGATCATGATAAATGCGGCTCAGACTGGGGGAACGAGCTAAAAGTACCAGGATGCTTCTTTGAAGCAGGCAAATTTGCAAGATACTGTTTGCAAAAACAGGGGCTCTTTTCCTATTTCCTAGGAAAAGTCTGTGAGGTGGAAAGGTGTAATTGCAAATATTTCATTGCACTGAGCAGCTCTGTGCACTGCTACTGATGGGGTCATTAATTTGCACAGGGATGCCCCCATTTTATCCCAGTAAGAAAAGTATATTAAATTATTCTTGGAATCCATGTATCTCCCCATGGAATAAGACAGGGCTCAGAGTCCCGCTCCATGTGTCCTGCCAGCCTCCCTGGCCAGCGGCTCTCCAGCAAGCTGCTCTCTTTCCAGTTGCAGGCTCTGCCCAGGCATACATGTAAATTTTATCATTCATGGCAAAAAAAAAAAAAAAAAATCCATCTCTTTTAACCTCTCATTGTAAATCCAGCTTTGCAGGTACCCATGATAACACCGAGGCTGACCAGGAGGAAAATTTCTGGTCTCAGGCTCTGGAGGATTTAGAGACCTGTGGCCAGTCAGGAATTCTGAGGGAACTAGAGGTAGAACAATCTTAACGTTTCTTTCCAATTATAGAGAAATACAATGGTTTTGGTTTCTTTTACATTCATATTATTTTCTCCTTTTCTTTCTTTCTTTTTTTTTTTTTTTCTCTTAATTTGCACTAATCACACCAATTCATTTAAAAGCTTTAACCCCTCTCCACAGGACAAGGCTGACAGGCGTCTGTCTTTGAGAAACATGACTCTCTTGGTACCTACCCTTTACGTTTATCTTTTCGCTTGTGCAGCTGCCTCCCCTGCCCCTAACCGGAGCTATTTTCTTTTGTACAATGTAGCTGAAATTACGTAAACCCCAGAGCTTCTGACTTGCAGCTTCTGCTGTGCGCAGCACTGAGGCTGCCTGCCCAGGCAGCACGTGGCGCTGAACGTTTTAAGTGCAGCAGTGCATTTCATTCTCCTACAGCCGCTTTACGCAGCTTCCCTTAGCATGTTAGAGGTTGTCTCTTAAGCAGAAACTTAATTTAATTAAGGTGAACATAAAAGAAAATCTTCTTTGCAAAACGCTTAACCATAATCTTACCACTCAGCAAAGAAAAAAAAATAAAAAATGATGCCAATGTGAAAAATGTTCATTGTAGAGCAATTTCTTCCCTGTGCAACAAATTTTCACATTTGATACTGAAGTTAATTGCAGATTTAACCACCATGTTAGGTCGTGCGGGAACAGAGACAGAGTGACTATGAGTCTTTACTTTTAATCACGTTTTCTCTAAGTTCTTTAATCATAACAATTAAGACTGTACTGACACTTAAAGATGTGAAATGGAAGGTCCTAAAAATATTTTCTTTTATGTTCTTTTAAATTCCTGGAGCTGCAAAACTGGCAGAATCTCATTTTCATTTTTATGTTATATAGTCCTTTAGCAGCCAGGAGGAATGCGAATGGCATAACTGGGTGAAACTTTTTCAGTTCAAATTAATTGTACATCCTCTGATTTATGGCTTCTGTTTGCATGTATGGGTAGCAAGATGTGATTCTCGTGTATTTGTTACTGCAGACCAGAGAAATGTAGGAGAAGAGATTGATGTTTTACTGGCTTAATTCTGTAGTTAGATATGGCAAAAGTACCGCGGGCTTCTCTTGCAGTTTTCATTATTCAGAGCACAATAAAAGGATATGGAAATAGATAATTCAGGGTGACCAGAATTCAGTCATTCCAACATGTTACATTTTCCTCGGCTCTTTCTACAAGTAAAATTCAGAACTGTAGATGCTATGTCATTTGTAGCATCCTCTTGTAGCATGAAGCACATCTTTGAGAGGAAAGCAAGACTGTCATTCAGGGTGGCAATGCCTCCATTTTATGCAGCACCCTTGCACATTTGAGGGCCATTTCTCACTTTTATTCCAAGGTTTTCAGCCAAACATCAGAGAAAACTATTGTTTGCCATGTCCTCCTGCTGCTCCTGCTACATCAGGCAGTGCTACATGTTGTTTCTGAGCCCAAGAGAAACTGCTAAAGCTGCAATATTTTATCTCATAGTGAAGGTAGTGCTGGAGCTGGAAGACTTAGCCATACAGAGTCAGCCAAGACAGAAGCAAATACTTTTTGTCAGCCCAGACAGGAGCAAATACATTTTTCTCATTTTTTCCCCCTTCTCATTTTCAAGTAGATTGCCTTTACCTGTCCTGGTCAAGAGTTCAGGTTATGGCCTTTTGACTTGCCCATGGATTCCAGGGGGAATAAATAGGAAATTCCCTTGCCCCGTGTCCCGCTGTACCGTGATTATACAGATGCATTTCCTAGGGCCAAATCCCTTGGCCGCGCAGGCGCCTCAGTCCTGCGTGCTGCTATTTCTTGTCTGCCCATTCTGTTCATCCCAGGGGATGAAATGAGCTTCAAGCTTTGCCCATTCCACCCAGAGGTTGAAATGAGCTTCAAGCTTTTGCCCGCCACGGCTTCTCTCATATAACTGAAAAGGTTTGTTCTTAGTGAGACCCAAACTTCTGGGTTTGTGTCCCTGGAGTATTGTCAGGGTTAGCTGGGGTGGGCGGAAGGTCTCTTTTCAGGGAGCGTAATCATCTGCACAGAGTTTCCTCCGGACCTCTGAAGGTCTCCAGCCACTGCCTCTGCCAGGCCTGGCTCTAGACTTGCCTTCACATCCTGCCAACGCACATTGTTTTTACCTTGCACATTCGCTCTGTGTTGTAAATCCCTTCATATAGGTCCAAGTCCAACAAATGCAAGTATGCCACGACTGAAATGTCACTGTATTGACATGCAAAGTTTTCCAAAAAATAAGCAGTTACACTGCTCTTCAGTCTCTTCAGTCTGCCAGGGGACTAGCTTAGCAAGCACAGCTGCTTTAGTGTTCAGTATTTTAGTTGAAAACTTCATTTGGAAACTTTGCCCATGAGGTTTTATTGTTGTGTTTTGTTGTGGTCCTTTATTTTATAGTGATTTGCAAGCAGATTGACCATCTATCGTCTTGCCTTTTGCTGTGCCCTGAGTGACTGTTTTGATAGAGAATAGAGAAGTTTTTCCTACTGCTATACATTAACTGTTTACCTAACCTATCTTCTCTGTGAAAAAAAAAAATAACCTGTTCATTAATGCTCTAGGCGACCATTATGTCAGGAAGCACCATGAGTTTGAATCACGAAAACCCACAGCCTCGCAGCCAGCTGGGAAGACAGGCCAGCTTCCAGGAAAGAAGTACTGTAAGGCCCCATTACAGCCAAGCCACCCGTAGCAACACGTTGCCTTCAGATGTGGGGAGAAAGTCCGTGGTGCTGAAAAAAATAAAGCAAGAAATGAAAGAAATCATGTCACCAACTCCTGTGGAGTTACACAAGGTCTCTAATTTTTCTTCTGACAATATTGAAATAATGTATGCAGCATGGGGAATCTAGTTATATGGCAGTACAGTAAGTACTTTTTATAATGACTCTACAGATGTAATTTTGGGGCCGTGCGTATTAGTTCGTACAAACACATTAATGATATATTCTTGTGGGGAAAACAAACTGAATAAGATACAGCTCATGCACTGTTTGCTTTTATAAGAAGACCTCAGAAGGGACGGCTCTTTTGCAAAGAGGATCCACTGGTAATTTGAATTGACAATCACAATAACTTATCTCTGCCAAATGTGTTTATTAAGAAAGCAAAGTTTAATTTCGAGAAAATACATTTCTTTAGAAAAATTGCTCAGGAGGGTTTGTAGCTCCCACTGGTCTTTTTTCAAATTAACACTCATTTCAAATCAAATACATGATTCTTGTATGTACATAATATAGACTGTTATTTCAAATTAGCTATTACTTCTCTCCTAATTCCTTTGCTCTAAGTAGGATAAATAATTTCCAGTCTGTACAGCTTCTCATTACTTAAGGCTTGTTGGAGTCACCTGGTGATATTAAGGTGGCTGAACCACCTGAAAGGAAGTTATTGGATGAAGTATTTCTAGACATGAAGAGCACAGATTTAATTCTTCAGTCCAGTGAGGTCGCAATGCCAAAGGGTTATTTAAATATCAAGAGAATGTATCATGATGCTGTTTTTAGCTATTTGTATTTCCATCTTGATAAGAAGTGATTAATGTGTTTTGTTACTGTTGTGTCTAACTGAGTGGTGAGTAAATGTGAGATGGACAGTGAAAGTGCTGGTAGGCATTTCATGGTGCACTCACATTCAGCAAAGGCACCGTTTTCTCCTGGGGAATATAAAATCTGTCTTTCAGAATGGTTGTTAAAGTCTTTGTTGGAAAATAAGAGGAAGATTTTTTTATTAATCTATCCTGTCTTTTCTGTCATTCTATTCTCGCTGCTACTTCGTAGAGTCCTGGGTAGTTAAAAATGCCCTGTCCTTGAGTCTTCTTTCTCTTTGGTTGCCATTTTATGATTGCCATGAAACTTTTCAAAGTTTTCACTATTTATTCAGGCAACATATCCACATTCCTGCTGTCTGCTGAAGTGATACTGAGTTTCCTTGTGCTGTTTTTTTGTCAAGATATTTTCCAAATTCTTACAGTCTTTTAGTAAAAATAGAAGAGCAGTGACTGAATCTCCCAATGAGACCAGCACAGTGTGGTGTGTCTCTGTAATGGCACATGCAGGATGAAGGCCTTAACTGAAACCTCTTGTGCTGGTTTTTATTCCTGCCCATCCTGGTGAATTCTTATTTATCTTGGGTTTCGTACAGCTTCTTGTGCAGTGGCTTATCTGTTATTTTCTCTGCCCCTTATTTTTTTCTGTTACACTCTTTCTCATGCACAGCTTATCCACTCATAGTCTTCTCAAACAAGCTCAGGGCCACAGGTATGACAGCATTTCATCATTAGAGAAAAGCTTGGATTTAAGTGTTCTTCATAACAGATCTTGCCAGCTAATGCTTCTGCAGGCGGGTGCCTTAGCTGAGCCACCAACACGAGGACATCTAATAACAACTGCTTTGGAAAACTGTGGGAGCATAAGCATGTGTTGAAATGCCAGCAAGCACACTGCTTCTTTGTGACTTACCTCAGCAAGACGTCTTAAGCACATCCTTACCTTTAGACAGCCGAGTGTTCCCAGCTTCTGTTTATGTATTTATTGGGCAATGGGATGAGTCTGCTGTATTTATTGACAATGGGATGAGTCTGTTTGGTAAGTCAGGGCCTCCGGTATCACAGCTCGTATGTTAGTTTAGTTACAGCAAGATGGGCCAAGAGGAGGAGAGGTCGCACTAGCTTCTCCTAACCAGGGTATAAGAGATAAGGGATATATGAATCTATTGAAGAGAGAGGCATACATTTGAAAAAGAAATGCATTAATAACTGGTCCAATACAAGAAATGAGACGCCCAAAGAATGAGATGGGAGAAAGCTGCTGAGGCCATGGCTGCAATGAAGTCTAAGCACCTGAGCAGGCTGTCCTTCCCAGACCTCTCAGAAAGGTAGCACAACCCTGGGCATTACTTTGCTTATGGCTTGTACTTTGCAGTAACGTAATCTGTATTCTGCACTGCCATTTGGTTCTTTAATGCATTACTTTCATCAAATATTTACTTCAACCCTTTTTGTCCAGAGGAAAGTAGAATTGATATCCTAGCAATGTCATATAATGATTTAAAAATTTATTTCTAGATAGCGTAATAAGTAACATTTAATTTGGCTGGATTGCCTATTGCTGTATCAGTACCCAAATTTAATTAATGCCTTTAATTGACTTGATCTACCAGGGTAAACATATGGATTAATATTTTATCTAAAAATCATAGAGAAGCTTTTTAAAAGTTTCATATAGCAAGCATTCCTCTGAGAGCAAAAGAAAAGCACTAGGCATTAGATAATTTTTCAAAGTTTTTATTGCAAGTAGTCATTAACCTAAAATTATGGTTGGTTAAAATACCTGAATAGCTGATCTGTGCAAGATATATGAATTTAAATTAAATATTTTCTCATATATATGAGAGCAGAAGCCATAGAAATGGACTCAAAACTTGTAAGCTTCTATTTAAAATTTGTGAATATTTAATTGCTTATGAAATATGAATTAAATTTTCTTTGGAACTTTTTTCCCTCGGTCCCCTGATGCAAATTTAAAAGTCTAAGAAATCCTCTACAATCTAATATTGTGATCAAAACTTCCAAGTAGTTATGATCAGAAATACAACAACAAAAAAGAAATAGCATGATTTAGATGTTAACATGAATTACCTTCAGTCTCATACCCTTCAGCTAGGCTGTGTTAGCAGCAAGGGAATATAAGAAACTTGTGTGAATGGGCTTTGCCCATACTCACTGTTCAATAAAAATCAGGGTATTTCTCATAGCAACTTTTTTTCTCTGAGATTCCCTTTTAAGAATATATACTGCCATAAAAAGAGATAGCCCCAAAGTTATAACCAGATCTCGGCACATGACTCCCATCTAATAAATGTAACAGCTGTCAAAAATGCAGCAATATCACATCACACCGTCATTCCCTAAATTAATGAATATCAGCTTAATTTTCAAGCTCTTCTTAAATAAAACAGAAGTGACGACAGCCCCGAAGGGAAATATATTTATAAATCTTTTATAATCTGTAGCTCTTAAGCTATTATGTTGCACTGCGTGATCTCTAGAGGCCCCTTCCAACCTCAACCATTCTGTGACTTTGTGATTCTGTGAGAAGGAGAATTTACGGATATACAGAAGTTCTGGTTGCCAGAGAGTGGCTGGTCCCCTTCCAGAATACCCAGTACGTTTGAGTGCAGAAAGTTTGGTTTGGATGAGGGGAGAGTGCTAGGAGACTTGGGGTGCTCGCTCTCAAGTTGTGCTTCATAAAAACTCTGTCCTAGAAGAGACGTGCAGGACTTGTCAAATCGTTCTCCACCCTCGCTGGACTTTGGTGAGGTCTTGACTGTGATGGAGCGTCCTGTTTGAGGTCTGAAAATTAAAGCAAGGTGCTCACCAGCTGAACAGCATCCAGAGGAAAAGCGGTAGGGCCAATCCTTGTTCCACGCGACTACAAAGAAAGAGGGGATAAAGATTCTCCTTGTTCTCTTTGGACAGCAGCAGGCTTAAATCTCAACAAGGGAGGTTTAGTTTAGGTGTAAGGAAAACATCCAAAACATTGGTAGGGATTGTTTTGAGAGACTGTGGAGTCTCCAATACTAGGGATTTCGAAAAGCAAGACAGAATAAATGGCTCTTGCTTATGGGTTGGAGTCACTTTTTTACAATTACTTTCTCTAAGGCTTCTTTAAGAAGCAGTTGGCATGAGGATACTTCTATGGTTTCTGTCAGTGTGGAAGAAGCTATAACCTCATTTAAAGAGAGTTCGTGTCTCAACTGGTTGCTAATTATTTCTCTTTTTTTTTTTTTGTGCTCTTGTTTGAAAGTTAGTCTTAAAGCAGTCGCACAGCAGCTTCAACCATCCTTGAGAGCAAAACCTATAGACAAATGTTATTATCTTCTCTCTCTCATGATGTTACCATCATGCTCAGTGTGAAGGAGGCATCTGAAATCAAAAGCAAATGTTTGACATAAAGGTACCATAACTGCTCATCTGGATCTGCAAAAAAGTCAGACCATTCATACTTGGGACATCAAGCTTCTCAGGGCAGTTGCATGGACATTGATGCCATGAAGATTCGGTGATAACCTCACTGAAAATTGAATTAATTCCCCATCAGTGAGGTTATCACCGAATCTTCATGCTACAAACAAATCAAGGATCCTCTCCTTAGATTTACTGGGAGCTACCAATGGCAACGCCAAACCATTACAGTTACAGAGCACTCTTGATGGAGTAGTTTCATCAGGCAGGACAGATTTTGGACAAGTATTTTGAATACAGTGTGAAATATATGGTAGCGGTAAACGCTGTATTTCAACTGTGAGAAGCAAGAAAAAAAGAAAACAACACACCTAACCCTATTGTATGAAACCTAAACCTAAACATATCAAGTACCTACCAAGTTTCTGAATCCTCTTCTATGAAACAGCTGAACTCCAACATGACCTATAAAGGCCTCATTTTCTGACTACCTCAGAAACTTCACCTAAAATAGCATTTGGGTTATTTTGTGCTTTTGAATGCCCCATTTTTGATATATAGTCGCTAGATAGTTGCTAGAGCAGAGCTGTGCCGGTGTCACGGAGCTGCTTCTGCTCGGGATTTCCATCTCGCAGGGTCAGCCCCTGCTCCTGTCCCTGCCCTTGTGGAGGTGCTGGGTCTAGTGCCCATTCCTTGAGGATTAAGAGTAGGACCAGCCAACACTTACAGCCTGGATTGGAGTGACTTGGACCAGGTTTGGTGTTATTAATTATGTATTGACAGTGCAAACCAGGATGGGCAAGTTACAGTATCTGTGCAGATTTTGTCCCCCACCCACAAAAAAAAATCCTGACATTAAAGGCACTTAGTTAAACAGAACAGACCAGCATGATCCCCATGCACAGATACCCTGGCAGCTAGAGGAGAAGAAAGACAGAAAAAAGCAGGGAGGGAGGAAAAAACTCGAAATCACACTGCAAAAAAATCCAGTTGGTCGCAGGAGAGCTGCAGCTTATTCCTGAAGACTGAGGTTCTGAACATATTTATTGAAAATGTAGGGGCCTCAGGTGAGACTGGGAATACCAAAACCAGCAGGTAAGTGATGGTGCTGAGGGGGAATGCACCTACAAAGAAAGGCTGCCTCGTGCATGCAGCAATGCAGACCTGCGGGCCAGAATTTTTCCCTCCTTCTCCCTTATCACCTCAAATTTCCTCCACAGGTAACTTTGTACAAGGACTCCGATGGGGAGGATTTTGGGTTCAGCGTCTCAGACGGTCTGCTGGAAAAGGGAGTGTACGTGAAAAATATTCGGCCGTCCGGACCCGGGGAGCTGGGTGGCCTGAAGCCGTACGACAGGCTCCTGCAGGTAACGTGTGCGCGGCTGGCTGGGCTGGCGGCACCGGCGCCGCGGGGTCCGAGGCACAGCTCGCGCGCTCTGCCTCCAACGTCAGCACCGCGTTGGGGGCTCTGCTAGGAAAGGGTGCACATGGGGGCGGCGGGGAAAGAAGGAAGGTTATTTCAAACACCGAAGGATGCAGATGCTCCCTGGAAAGTTAGGGTTTCCCATGGCGTCGCTCTGCTTCTAATCAGTGGAACCGCTAAGCTCCGCACTTACCAGAGCTAGACTGGGGCAGGAAAATCTTTTTTTTCCTGTCAGCCAGACCAATAAAGCATTTTGCATATTAAAACCACAAAAACCTGCTGAAGTTTCATATATGAGCGTTTAAATTAATGAGCACTGTGATAGTAAGGGAAAACTTCTGTACTGTTAGAAGTCACTTATGGAGCAGACACAGTGACAGGCTACAGCAGCCACCCCCGTGCACCTGTGTGCACCCTGGGAAGAAAACTAACTGTGGTCTCCAGGCCAGGCACTGTGTTGAAGTAGTCTGTCCTGGACGGTGTCTGCCTGCTCGTGGTAAACCAGGTCTCCGTCCTAGTGTGGAGGCTGGTCCTGGTCCCTCGGTTTGGGCTGTCTCATTTGGCTCTCCTGAAGCGGTCACGAAAAGGAGCCTTGGGTTCTTCCAGGTAAACCACGTCCGTACCAGAGACTTTGACTGCTGCCTCGTGGTGCCGCTCATCGCCGAGTCGGGCAACAAGCTGGAGCTGGTGATCAGCAGGAACCCCCTGGCATCGCGGCAGGGAAGCGCGGAGGAGCCGCCCGCGGCGGGCGGCGAGTGGGGCGAGCCGGGCAGCGGCCTCCTCCACCAGAGCGGCCTCGCCGACGCCCCGCGGGATCCGACCAACACCTTATAGCAGCCGAGCCCTGCGCTGGGCCGCTCGGCCACGACACGCAACGACGGTGCTAAACCCCCCCAAGCCTTTCCTGAGGCTCACGCGCGGATGCCGCGCGGCACTAAAGCACAGGAGGATCAGTCCGTCCGCCTCAAGGCTTGTATTAACTCGCGGTCACTTATGAAAGACTTTGAGTTCGTAGTTAAGTCGTTTTATTATAAACAGTCTCCTGTTAGCAACGAGGAGCGAAAAGCGTAAAGCCCCCCCTCACCTCCGAAAATGAAAACGGGGAGATGTTCAAACATGGTGTAACACGGTGTTCAAACAGGGTGTTCCTCACCCTCCAACAGCAGTGGAAAGCACGGAGTTAACCTCTCCTCACGGCGTACAGGTTACACTGTTTTAAAAAGTGTTTTTTAACCAGCAGGCGCTGTCTGATGGCAGAGCAAGAAGGGCATGGGGTTGCACCAGGTTTCCCTGTACATTGGCCGGAGCTGGAAGTCGGGGGGACATCAGGTCCGTGGCAGGAACTGCCTTCAGACAGCAGCACCGTTCAGACGTTTTAACAAAACCCACGTAGGAAGCTGCAGTACGTGGTGAACATTACTCCCTAACTGTGGTAAATTTTTATTAGAACATATGTTATTCCCTATGCAATGAAATATTTAACGATATGTCTTGCAGCCTGTGAGGTTTTTTGTTGTTGTTTTTAAGCAGAGACTTTTTAGACAGGGGGATAATACATCAGAAGACGGATTAGTGACAAGAGTAAAACTGAGTTTAGACAAATTAGAAAGGTTTTAAAGTAAAGGGATCTTTTTAATTACATCCAAGATTGACATGAAAGCTCCTTAACGATCCATAAAACTCTAAACTTGTAGTGTTAAATATGAGCTCTCTTTATAAAAGTCAAGCAATTTCTTGAGGGGACTAAAGTCCATTTAAATAACCTTTGTTTTCAGCCTTCTTTATGATAAACATACCCGTGCAACACGTTTTTAGAATTTCAAACTGTAAATATGTTTTACAAACCCATCACACAAGATCTCTCCTTCCCCCACCCCAAAGCAATAAAATACTGCCAGTTGCTTTATAAGCTCACCAGCAGCTGCTTTGGTTTATTCCAGTATTCGAGTTGTTATGGTCATTATTGTTATTGGTGAATATAAAGATACTGGATTTGTACATTTGTAGAGTCTCCATATCTAAGCAATCACGGAGTTTTCTGGTCAGTTTAAACTGTCTAACTGTATCCTTATTGCTGTTTCCCATAAACAAACAAGCTCACCTGCCCTGCACACACAAGTAAGTCCGATTTATATTTCAGCACTGCCAGAAATGACATTCAATGCTGAATCATGTAAAAAATAATGTTCATGAGTCACTTAAATATGTATTTTTATTTGTAACAAATAAGTATTAAACTGTAAAGTATTTTTGTACAAATTTAATACTTTAATAGCATGATATTTATCGTCCATGTATGTTTTTTGAAATTCAAACTGTTGCAAATATTTGTATGGAAAAACTGTATAAACTGAAATAAACAGTGATTTAAAGACATTAACAATGAGGTAGTAATTTTCTATGTAAATTTTTTTCCACACACATAGCATTATTAACAAAAAACACCACCTTTACATTTGAGGCAATCTCAAAAAAAAAAAAAAAAAGGTTATGGCAGAAGAAATAGTGAGAACGTAAACCATTCAAATTTTAATAGAGCCAGTCTGAAGTCTGAGTAAAATATTCACAAAATTATAGAATGGTTAAGGCTGGAAGGGACCTTTAGAGATCATCCAGTCCCACCCCGCTACACACACGCAGGGTCACCCAGAGCACGGGGCACAGGGCTTGGGCTGCGTCCAAGCAGGTTTTAAAGATCTCCAGAGAAGGAGACTCCACAACCTCTCTGGGCAGCCTGTGCCAGGGCTCTGGCACCCTCACTGTCCAGAAATTTTTCCATAAGTTCCTTCATAACTTTTGGTGCTTCACTTTGTGGCCGTTTCCTCTAGTCCTATCGCTGGCCACCACTGACAAGAGGCCGCCCCCTCCTCCTCACTGCCTCCCTTGAGGTATTTATACACGCTGATCAGGTCCCCCCCTCAGCCTCCTCTTCTCCAGGCTGAACAGGCCCAGCTCTCTCAGCCTTTGCTCATATGGCAGATGTTCCAGGCCTCCGATCATCCTGGTAGCCCTGCGCTGGACTCTCTCCAGCAGCTCCACATCCCTCTTGTACTGGGGAGCCCAGAACTGGACGCAGTACTCCAGATGTGGCCTCACCAGGGCTGAGTAGAGGGGGATGATCACCTCCCTCGACCTGCTGGAGATGCTTTTCTTAATGCACCCCAGGATCCCGTTGGCCTTCTTGGCCACCAGGGCACACTGCTGCCTCATGGTCATCCTGTCATCCACCATGACACCCAGGTCCCTCTCTGTGGGGCTGCTCTCCAGCAGGTCCACCCCTAATCTGTACTGGTGTCCAGGGTTATTCCTCCCCAAGTGCAGGACCTTGCACTTGCCCTTGTTGAACCTCATGAGGTTTCTGACTGCCCAGTTGTCCAGTCTGTGACAGGTTATTTAATTCAGGTTTAATTCCACTTATTTACTTATTAATTATTAATCATTAATTATTTATTAATCATTAATTATTAATAATTATTTATTTTCAGGTTTAATTCAAGTTTAATCTTGAAAATTACCATGCATGAAGTCATGCAATACAGAAGGGCTACATGCAGTAACTTTTTTGAACTGTGACTCAGAATTTTGCTTTTGTTTCCAAGATCACGAGAGTAGTGTAAAAGTTCCCTGCGTAGAAAGAGCAATGGCGAATTCCCCATCTCCAGAAGTACCAAAAGGAAAGGCAGGTCGTTGTTGGCGGGCGATTGCCGCTTGTTCCTTCAGCTCCTGACAAGACTGAACATCATGATCCAGCCAGGCTTCATGCCCACAGTTCTGCCCTGTAGGGCACAAATGAAATTCCCTTTATACACTGTCCTTTTTTTGGCTTAAGAGCACATGGTAGCTTCAGAAATGCAGTTAAGAGCTTCTCATCGATGCTGCAGCATCACAAGCTACATACAACCTGCTACAGATAGAATATTTAAACCAAGAAATTCCCATGTATTATACAAGGGAACATACTGCTTCCAATAGCTCTGTAAGTTAATTTTTTTTGCAAAATAAAAGAATGACTTGATTTTTGATGACTAACGCACCAATGAATGTTCTTCTAGAAACAGATCACTGAAAATATAAAACCAGCTGTCGTTCAAAGTAAACGGAAATATAGGAAAGCTGTTAAAATCTCTGCATATCTAGTTTCTCTGTTCCAAAGTCTTTAAAATAAAGCTGTAGAAAACAAGTATATTCATGAAGAAGACATCTGATTGTCAGTTTTTGAAAAGCTTCTTAGGAGTTACGTGTTCCAAACTTAGATTCCTGAGTCTCCAAGACCCAAGTGGAGTGTCTTGTTGATTTGTCTGTTAAAACAAAACAAAAATGTTATTGAAGTTGACATCTGTGCACAAAGACCAAGCTAATATTGTCTAAGCGAGGCAGCAATCACTGCAATTAGTCACAAGATGAGTAAGTTTACTTGCTACTGGCATTCTTCCCCCTCACCCCCCATTAGCCATTTATTACCCTAGGAAGGCATCTGCCAAACATGACTGCTCAGAGATTACTGGCCAGATTACTAATACTTTGAAAATTATTAAATTTTTTTAAAAAGAGAAAAAAACACCTTGCAGCTGAAACAGAGCGCAATGATTTGATTTACACTTTCCCAGTAAAGAGGTACTTACCAAGGATGTTTTCGCAGCATCCCCTGAATTTGCCACAGGACTTCTTTGTCTTTTGTATGGACTTAGCTGCAGTGCATTGCTCATCTCTTCATTAGGAACTCCAGACCCTTCTTGTTTAAGCGAGTCAGCTACAGGCTCAGATAGGTCAGGAGCACTTTGAGTTACAGACTGCGTCTCAACTTGCCCACTCTCCTTCAGCAGGAGGGAAGTTTGTTTCACAGGGTAGTTTATTTCTGCAATTGTCTCTCTCAAAAATTTCTGTAACTGAGTTTTTCTGGGCCTGCTCTTGTTGGTGACTGCTTTCTTGAGGTGCATCTCCTCAGYGATCACGTAGACTCGGCAGCGGCCTCTGGTCACAGCTGTGTACACGTGCTGCCAGTGCTGACGGCCCGGGTTCCCAACTACATAGACAACAGTTTTTACCTCAGAACCCTGAAAGATGGGTGGGAGCTTCTTCTGACCAAAATCCAGTCTCTAATTAAAAAAAAAAAAAAAGCAATGGTAAAAAAAAAAAAAAAAAAAAAAAACGCTCAGAAGAGCAAGGAAAACAAAGGAAAACAGAACTGGAGATTCTCTGAAAAGCATCTTCTGCATTCAAGGAGTTTTGGTTTCAAAAGAGCCTCTGACACTTTCATATGACAATACAGCGAATTCCCAAGATAGAAGCATGGTAAAGTCTTATCAGCTCCTAAAACTTCCTACCTGGAATGTGTGAATAGTTCTGGCCCATGCATGTTTTATATGACACAGCTTCTTCAGTGCCTTATATACCACAGTGTATGTGGAGCCGTATGTGCTGCTGATGGTCAGTAGCCGTTGTTTATTAACTTCCACATCCTAAGGACAAAGAACAAGAACACATCAGGAAGCTCCTTTCAGTTGTTTGACCAATGCCTGTATATAATCTATGTGTAYCTATATGAATATCTTTCCCTGAACTTAAAATTGCTTCAGTGCCAAGCAAGTGAAATCATTTTAGATATTAAAGGCAAAGATTGCTGACTTTCACCAACTAGCTCCAAGGAAAATTAGTTTCAACACACAGGCCAGCTGACTTTAAGAGTTAAAAAAAGTGTTTTAACTCCCAGAAAACTTAGTATCCAAGGGTAAGGTGACACATTAAAAAAAAAAAAAAAACACCTAACAATATGGAGATTCAGCCCCCTCCTACCAACTCTTTGTGCCTCCCCCTTGCCTAGCACAAATCCTAGTATCCRTTGGACCCTTTGCCGAGTCAATTCAACTCAGTCAACCTAGGAGGAAAATTAAGGGTTGGGAGTCGGTTAAATTTGTCAGCTTCATTTTCTGCCAGGGAAGAAGGACTCTGCCTGTCACATTAGCTTAATTCTTTTTTTAAAGATTCTTTTTGTTTAAAGATGGGTGTATTTTCACCCATATGCAAAGGATACTGCATTTCAAGAATGGAAACAGCTTTTACGTGAACTTCCAGGGATGCTTTTTCCTAAATTCTCTACTGCCTTTTTGTTTTGTTTTTTTTTTTATACAATAGGGCAGCCTTTTACATGATACTTTGGCAGATGTAAGCATCTATTCTGAACTGAATTTTTAAAATGTGAATAATTTTACTTCGGGATTTTGTGAAAGTTTATGCAGCAAGTATTTACATCTGTTATGAAAAATATATCTCCGTTGCACAGTCGTTTGCCCTCCTCAGCAAGGGAGGATTTTCCATTTTCACATTTCTGGCGTTCAGGATCCTTGCTGAAAGCCTGTCCTGGCAAGAGATCCTTCAGGTAGGTATTTCGCATGCAGCAAATCTTGTCATCTGTTYGAAACAAAAGTCGTCTTTTATGGTCTCTGCATTGTGGAAAAAAAAAATATTTTGTAAAACTTTTTGGTAAAAGCATCAATATGGAGAAGTGCTCAAATGCTGCTTCCAAGAACATCTCAGAATCAAACAGTGGGGAAAAAATAACCCGTTTTTTTTTCCAAGGAGCTTTAATGTCAATTTTAAATACCCCAAAACTTGAAAAACATATATTGACAAGTGGTTTAGATTAAATCCAAACCATTTATAGTATTTATTTTCACAATCCAAACTAAAACTAAAGGGCTCACCAAAGAAAGATTYCTAATTGTAAAAATGACCCCTACTGTACTGAATCAGATTGACATGAATCTCTACAACCAGTTSTACAATTTTATTTTAGGTTGCTGGGCTTTTGTATGACACTTTAAAAAAAACAAGACATTCATAAATGGAAAAACTGCAAAAAAATGACTTACCTAGTTAAATGGTTTGAATAATGCTGGCAACAAAGCTCATTTATTAGATCACAATCTTGCCTAAAACATAAAAAAAACAGGAGTTTTAACTTTTAAAGACCCATTAAGTACCTGTAAACATACCACAAAAAACCTTAAACACAAACTGTAAATAACAGTACAGCACACACAAGCMGACTGGAGAAATTAAATTTACTCTAGAATTATTCAGTATTCATAGGAAAGTGATARACTTGCTAAAATTTATGCACCAATTTATTTGCACACTATAGTTTTGGCTTTTTYAATTGCTAAGAAAAAGTTCTTCAAAATACAGGCAAGAAGTTTTTCCCTTCAGTACCCTTTTCAATGAAAGGGTAACAGTGGGGACTCCAGTACTATCAATAGCTCAGTATTTCTGGGAACCTCCCATGCTCTTTATGCTCCTGCAACAGTTCACGTTMTCAGTGACAAGCAGCACTCCCTGCCCTTCTCGGAAGTCTGCTGGAGCCCTACATCTCCCCTTCTCCTTCTCAAATGACTTGGATTGTGCTTCCAAATATGCAATATCCAAATATCCAGGAAGCAGGAACCCAGCACAGAATCCTCAACAGAAGCACTAATGTCCATCAGATCATACCACTAACCCTGGCCCTCATGAGATGATCAAAATGCCAGTATCTTCTCTCACTGCTGAACATCCACCTGCTCTGGTGGCACAGGAGCAGGCTGTCTGCTCCCAGGAGGCTCTCTGGAATTCCCCCCGCTTCCAGAATGGGGAAKGCTGAACATTTGAACATTGGCCACAATCTCATTTTTAATCTCTCTCATGGGGTTAAGGTSCATTACTTTATATTTTGTGGGTTCCTCCAAGCAGTCAAGACCTCATCTCACACCACAGACTCTTGTGGAGTCCAGTGCAGACTGACCACTAACCCTTCGTTTCCTTAACACAAACAATACAGAACAATATGAATGCAACAAGAAGCATGGTGCAAAACAACATCAATCTCATGGAAAAGTGAAGTTACTCTCCATGGGGAAAGAGGGTACAAAAATAGGCACAGGGAAAGACACCAGCCTGTTTTTCCCTCTAGCATTTTGAACAATAGTGCCACTAGTCTCCCCAACTCAACACACTCAGCTGGTTTTAGATCATGGCTGCTAGCAGGGATTTTTTCCGTGTCTGCCTCCATGCTCTGTTACCTTCTAAAAGCAATGAACTGCGATTGCCTGGCATCCTGCAACCCTGGTCCTTTTGCAAGTAAAGTCTTGATGGCATTCTGCAAATCTGATTTAGAAGACATAACAGGTAAGATATAAACATATACAGAACGAACAATTAAAGAGAGAAAAAATAATCTGGTGTGATATTGCCTTTGCTTATTTCTTGCTTCAGCACCATTTCAATTTGTTTGAAAGAAACAAAACTGAACAACAGCAACAAAATCACAGAAATATACTTCCCTCCCCAAGTATCATGTAGCTATCTCACACTTAGAATCCGGAAAGAGAAAAGTGTTATCAAATAACAGAAGTTCTTATTTATTTTTATTACATAGCAGACTAAATGTCTTTCATGCCAAACTGTGTTTTGATAGAGTGTGTTAAAGAAGCATTGGCTAGATTATTTTTAACCCATTAAACTATCCATTTAGATTTTACAGAAGATACCCAAACAGAAGTATTCTGTTTGCTGAGTAAAAGTGAACTTGTAATATTCATGATTATTTTCTTCCACAGGCATGCAAAGGGGAGGCACCTATTCAGTAATGGTGGTGACTAAGCCCAGCTCCAAACACTTTGAAACAAATCTTGATGACCCCTCTCTCAATAGCCTTTTTTCTGTTTGCACTTTCTTAATTAGATTGCAGAGTTGAGCACAACACACTGCTGTCCCAACATCCCCGCAGTTGCTTTTACCCTAAAGCCCTCACCTCYGAAAAATTTAATCTTTTAAGGCCTAACAGCCCAGTGGCAACATAAAGAGCTGCTCATGTTTGATGACACTGGTCTGTGCTGCAACACTCCCATTTCAAAGCTGGAATCCTACAGAGTATCCTTTGCCCTTACCAGATTTGCTGTGCCTACCCACATAAGGCAAAAAGGCAAACTACGAATCCAGTACTTAGYTTTAAACCAAAAACAAACGTGTTGATGGGGCACTTAGGGACAGACTTAGGGACAAACTTAGGTTTAGCAGACATGATGGTTTGGATGGGTTTATAGATAGACATCATGATCTTGAGAATCTTCTCCACCCATAATGATTCTATGACTAAAACATTTCAAAATTGCTCATTAGATCCAAATAGTGTGTGTTTTACAAAAGGGGAAGTCAAGATCACAGACTATAAATATACACGTACTGTCACAGCTCCCACCAGAAGGCAAAGCAATAAAAATGAATTTCTTCTCCGGGCTTGGCATGGGCTGTTCTCCATTCCAATCAGAAACTTTTAGCACCTCATCAAATTCGGGAAGYTTCCGATGAGAGATTCTGGACAACAGGAGTGGTGGGAAAAAGAGAAGAGAAAAAATATTTCTAGTTAAAGTATTCTATTGTACCCTCTGCATCAGCCTGAATGCTGCATTTTAGAAGTGTTTGCTCACCCACTATAAAACATGTATACACTGAACACCTATTCYCTGCGCGTAAGTTAAACTCACAGGGAAAAATCCTAATTTATCCTCCAAATCCTTCAATGCTAGAGTATATAGTTACTATTATCAATACAGTCCTCCTCTGGGGAGGAGTATGGAGTAATATAGAAGTCCTGCCAAAACCAGAAGGGGAATAGGAGGGAAAAGGGGTCTGTAAAACATTAGTTGTAGTTCTGGACATCTTGCAAAGGTTCAGATTATCCTAAAACTTCCACAGATACCAAAAGGTCTTAAGTACCTAGACACAGATTTTGCCTTTCATGTTTCAAAAAACATGCATACTGGATTCCTTCTAGATAGYAATAAAGGACTAGAATGACTACAAGAATACTCCTCACACACATTTTAAGCTCCTACCTTGTTGCGTTGTCTACAATTAACTGTGATTCCGCTCTGTGATTAGTTCGCAGTTCCACAGAGAGCCCTTTGGATTTGAGGCCCTCAAAGATATCAGCCAGCACGTTACCAGGATCTATGCTTGGGAGCTGTCTAGTATCACCTAAACACCACAAATTAACATTTGTGAGGAGCAATAACAAAGCGCCTCCAAAAATATGCTTTAAAAATCTCTGAAAGTAATACTTAACCTTTCTCACAGTGTATGACCCAGTAATCATATGCTACTCCAGGACAATTTATGTCTAACAAAATTTTCTAGAATCCCTAAGTTTCCTAGAATTAAACTGTAGAGCAGTTTAAGTCCTTTAAATAATGCTTTGCTAATAGGTATAAATGACTGTATGATGAATAGATATTGATCGCCCTATCCAAACACATTTTAAAAGCTGTATATCTAAAACCAAGTGCCATAAATAGCACACCAAAAAAGTAATCTCCAAGGTAGCAGAGGTGAAAGATCCGATTTTACACTTTTTCTCCCCTCCTATCCTAAAAACAAGTTGATTCTAACAATAAGATGCTCAGCACAAAATTTATCGCCTAATGTCTGATTCATGTGGTAACATTAGCTTCCTTAAAGCTTAAGGAAAACAGAAAAAAATTCCCCCCAGCTGTTTTCCATCTCATCTAACTACCCATGAGCAAATATCCAAGAAGAGAACGACTGGATTTTAGAGACTGAGCAAGAACAGTAGTAGCTTGGATGCTTACACTGTATATTGTGTATCATCAAATACTGTATAATCCTAATTGTGAATTTTTCCACTTACCAAGAATAATAAGTTTGGCAAGTTGAGCATGCTCACATAGGAGCTTTAGGACTAAGCTAAGAATCTGTACAGACACCAAGCTTCCTTCATCCACAACCAGAATGGTCACAGTAGAAAACTTCCACGGCAGTTCTTGCTGACTTTGTGACGACTTCCATGATTTAAAACTATAGATGATCTAGAAACAAGACAGGAACAATACAATTTGAGTCATGAAACAAACAGACTGAAAACAACTGTCTGTTCTAATGTTGTATTTAGAGATGTTAACTGAAGCTCTGAACTTCAGCATGCAAGGAATGAGAAGACTCACTCTTTTGGTCTTATTTCTCTTCCCAGTGAACACATTTCTGGCTGAGATTACCAATATTCTTGCTACGTCCACTTGTTTGGACCAGTAAGCAGCCACATGGGGAAGAGGTAAAGGAACTACCCGCTTCTCGATGCATTGTATTATCTCAACTTTTATTTATGTAACTTACTCCACCTCTCCAACCTCTTTGCAGCTTTTCCGCTACCTACATCAATCGAGACTTAAGTTCACTAACAAACAGGCCGCTTTCTACTTTTTTCTTACCCCTAAAAATTGTTGCAAAAGATATATCCAGAGACACTAGTTAGGAAAACACTGTATGAGTGAAATCCACCTCATTACTCAACCCCAGCCTGTGGTTCTTCACAAACGGGCTGGGATCAATGCAACTTCTACACAACGGGGCACYGGAGAACAGCCCCGCCGCCGCGGGAACATTTCTGCAGTTAATTTTAAATGCTGCAGATTACTCAGTCTACCAAAAAATGGTAAAAGATTCAATGCCCTAGAAAGGCACACATTTGAGAAATGCTTAAGAAAGATTAAAAAAAAAAAAAAAAAAAGATGCAGCACATAATGGATTTCAGACAATCAGGATTCCTGAAAATATCATCCTGATATTTACACGCTGACAAGGTGTACCTTAAAATTATCATTAATAGYTCTAAGTATCACTAAAAAAAGATAATTATTTTTATCCGAAATAAGAATGACACCTGCAAAATTTATTTTAGAAGACAATTTTTAAAAAATCCTTACCTGATGCAGGGTGTATGCAGGAAATCTAGTTTTTTCACTCAAAAGGCTTGCAGCCCTTCCTGTAGGTGCAGTAAATAATACATTAAAAAGATTTTTTGTGCAAGTATTTTCTGATTCCCAATGATGATTAAAAGTATTCCACTCCTCAGATGCATCCAGGTCTCTCTCAAAATCCTTAGAAGCTGCTTCCACTTCTTCCATCTCCTTTTCCATCTGCTTCAAGTGACGAAAAAGGTAGCTAACGATGGTGCTCTTCCCACAACCTCCTTTTCCACTTATGATTGTGACAGGATTAGTACAAATCTTTTCCATAGCAGTCACCTGATCCAAGTCTACCTCTCCTTTACTTTGGCTACCAAATGTAGACTCCACTTCCTTTTTAAGGAAGCTRTTTTCACAATCATGACTTTCGGGATCATTTTCTTTCACACACTCCATTTCCTGAGTAGCATTCATTTTCATATCCACTATTTCTCTCGATATCTCAGAAACGTTAAGTATTTGTCTCACATCAACATCTAGTTGCCATGAGTGGTTTGACAAAAGGCCACCTATACACGTGGCAATGTTTTTTTCTGAGTTGTAAAGATGAGGCAGAAACACCATTTTTCTCTTCCTAATCACTATAYGTTGATCTTTCAAAAATTCGAGAGATTGCCAAGCGTTCTCAATAGACATATCTCTCGACACAAAATGAGTTAATTCATCCTGATCTTCATAAGTATGTCCCATTTCTGTACATTGCTTCTTGAGTCGATCGTACAGAATCAAGGCATTCCTCTGCAGTTCGGGAATCCTCGGGAGGAGATGGTTGCACTGACGGAAGGCTGCCCAGGTTGCTTCACAATAGGAAAGGTTCAGTTCCCTATAGGTAATCTTCTCCCCAAAAGGAATAAAAACAAGCATAGATTTATTTATTTCCGAAGGCATTAGCATCTTGCTGAATTACAACTCACTGGGTAGCAGTCTACAAAAAAAAAGTGCATTTTTATAACGTACAAAGTTACAATGCTTTTTTTTTTTCCTTTCTCAAAAGCAAGGTATTTCAAAATGAGATGACTGATAATTCCTTTGTCACCAAAACTTTAAAATCAAAAACCCCGTACAGAAATTGAGTATTAGAGAGAATTTGTGCATCTGATCTGATGCACCCCTAACACAACTTCAAGACACAAGCTATGTCAGAAGCAGAGCACAGGTTAAGGTACGAGGTAGAATCCTGTGTCCAATTTTGGAGTAAAGACTTCAAGGCACAGATGAAACCTACCAAGACTAACAGAATACAGTGAGAGAYTGATGTACAGAAGGGATGAAACACTGTTAGGGGGCTGACAGAAGAGAGAAATGATTGCCTTCAAGTAGTAAAAAAGTCTCAGGAAGGATACAAGGCTTGGTACAGAGAACAAGAGAGGAAAAAARGTCTGAACTGCAACAAGGAAGAGTCAAAATAGGCACCAAGAAAAACTTTCTAATGCTAAGGATGTGAAACAAGCTAGGAGATGAAGCAGATAGACAGTATTTGCAGGCTGAGGCAAAGGGATTAACTAAACACATTTCTGCACTGAGCCTTAGCTCATGTTTGGGCACTAAGTCGAGYCACAGCAGAGCAGCTGCACGAAAGGGAAGGGAAGCAGCAAATACAAATCCTAAAACCTCTTATGAAGCCATTTGGATCTACTTTGCTATAAAAGCACACACGCTACTTACTGACACTGTTCTATGGACTAAAACCAGATTCCATTTCCACACGTAAAATTTTAAAGTGTAATTTTAAATTAGCTTTTTGGTTTTCACCTGATTACTTCAATATTTAGTTTCCTATTCCTTATAGCAAAGACTAAGCAAAAGTTTGTAACATTTTCACATTTAAAAACTTTTGGACCTGAATTATGGCAGACCATTGGAGAAAAAAACTTTCTCAACAGTGAGCATGGCAAATTATCCTTTTTCAAATTAACTGAAGTTTATCTCCTACAAATGTCCATATTACAAACTGAACRTAACTGAAAGACCAGCCTTATGGCCCAATGAAGGTCGAATGCAAAAAATGTCACATTTCTTACCCTACCTCTTATTACTTACCTTGCTGAATCCAAGTTTCCATGGCTCATTGTTCAATATCTCATCCAGTTTTCTGAGAACGTCATCTTGGCAATGTTCTTCCTCAACACGTGCATCATCATCATCACTTTCAGGCTCTTTTCGCCAACACACCTTCTCCAAAAGGCAGCAAAAATGGTGTGGCAGAAGAACTGGCAAATACTCCATGATCTTTGGAAAATGCATAGCTACCAATACAGCCTTTCCTGCAACTGTATGCACCATTAACAAAGAAAGTTTTAAACAATATACGAATCCATTAATAAAGACAACATAAATAGATTTTGGCTTTTATCCTTCTCCCTCTTCCATATCCAGAGCATCCCTAATATCTTTCCTAATATGTTCTTTGTAATTCTTTTAAAGATATTTTTTTAATGAACCAATGAACTGCCTTAAAGAAAAAACAAATGCGAACAGGTGACTGATAAAACCAACAACTAAAATATTCTCTTGGAAAATAATTAGTACACATGTATTTAAAACTGCACACTTAATAGCAACCAGTTCAGACTAGTTGGGTCCCACAGACTGAATGGCAGTGGTATGGTATATTAGGTGTGCTACTGACATAACGTCTTGTGGTTACAGCTCCATCCAGACAGAATCCAGCCCATATTCCAAGGACCTGGCTACACCATTTCTGAATGCTACCTGCCCTAGAAAGCCACATTGCCATGTCTAAGCGTTGAACCCATTTAATGAGCCTTGACTGCATCACAGTAAACCACACACAGCCAAAACCAGGGTCTTGTCAGTACCAGTGACAGGTAATTCTAGCCAGCACACCCACAGATTTCAGGTAATCTTTATACACCTGCAACTRCAATTGCAACTGTAAGCACTCCTTTAAAGGCCTAGCAATCCCCYGCAGCCTTCAAATTTAAAAAATATGCAAGAATCTTTGCATATTAAAAATTCATTTCACTACACTTGACACATAGACATGCTAGCCTGAGCACGGTACCTTAAAAAATAGAAATGAGCTTACAAAACTATCAAAACAGCACACAATATACCTACAAGATTTCAAAACATACTGAAAGATATCAAAATTCTTGCTATTTCCTTGCTTCTTTGTTGAATATGATGCTTGGAACTGTTTCAGTTTCTCTTCAAGTTTTGCAAAACTCAGCAAAGGCTGCCCAGGAAGCCAAGTAAAAAACTCCTGCTTAAAACCATCAGGAACACCACATTCCTTAAGGAAGAGCGAAAAGACATGTTGGTTGTTCTCCTCTATATTAGTCCGCAGAAAATATGATGGAAATCCTTGCACAAAACACTTGGACCCCGTTTTTTTAACTTTAACATGAACTGTCCACCAAGGGGCCACAATTGGAAAACGTCCAACTACGTCATACTCCTCTTTGGTTTCTTCATCTTGGATAATAACTGAAATTCAGAGAGAAGAAAAAAACATCATTACTGCTAGACGGGAAAAGGCAAAAAGGGTGGTTTCATTCAAGTATTTTGGATGTTCAAGCTTATTTTTATTATTTGTATTATAAGCTATATTAACAGAGAGTAAAAAAGCATTAACAGTTTCTAATAACAACTTTATGAAACAAAACACACAGAGCTTCAAACACACTGGCCTATGTAGCATCCCCTTCTGCAGGCCAGGGTAACAGCAGAAATGAGGCCTACACTACAGTTTTACTTTCATTTCTCCTATCTACCCAGCAGAATTCAGCTGTTTGAAAAAGCTTTAGGAATAAAACACTCACACTTTTTGCTCCAGAGTCACTTGTCTTCCTCAACACTGAGCACCAGAAACTAGAGCATCAGTGAGCTTAACTGCCATCACTTCTAACCTGATATATATGTGCAAACATGAATGCTTCCACTAAGTTTTAAAATATATGGAGTCCTTTGTAGGCAATTCACTCCAACACGGGACATCTACAATTTCCTATTTTTGCAATACAGCAGAAATCCTAGCCTCTGTGCAAGATTTACCAGCAGCTTCGCGGTGTTTGGCCCTTGTATGAACTCAGTAGGGCCGCCTGTAAACCCCATCACTGGGAAGGCCCCAATTAACTTTCCTGAAGATTCCACATAAAGWAGTAGTAGTAGTAGTAATAATAAAAATACACTTTTTTTCCTTAAAAAATACAATAAAATGCAGCTCATCCTCCCTAGCAGCGGGAGCCGCCRGCCCCGCTCCCGCCGCCGCTCACCGGCCCGGCGCGGGGGCAGCGCGGCCGCCAGCTCCGCCTCGCCGTCGGAGGCGGCGAGCAGCGCCATGTCCGYGAAAGGCGACTCCTCCTCGGGCTCCTCCTCTTCGTCCTCCTCGACCTCTGCCCCGGGCTGCGACGGCAGCAGCGGCGGCGGCAGCAGCGTCCCCCGCAGCTCCGTGACGGGAGCCCCGCGGCCGCCCTCGCTCGCCATGGCGTCCCGGGCAGCGCAGGACGAGGCGGGACTTGCGGGCGCCTCCCTCCTCCGCGGGAGAGCGGGAGGCGGGCCGCCATGTCGCGGGTGCCGTTTCTGGGGGGGGGTGCCGCCACATCGCGGGGTTCCCTGTGAGGGATCCCGTCACGGGGTGCCGTTATCGGGGGGGGGTGCCGCCATGTCGTGGGGTTCCCTGTGAGGGATCCCGCCATGTCACGGGGTGCCGTTATCAGGGAGGGCCGCCATGTCGTGGGGAGCCGTGGCTCCCCCGGTGCATCTCGATGGGCGCCCTGTTCATGGCGAAGACAAAGTTGTGCCGAGGAACTCAGGAAACTATTTTTCTGTGCACCCAGGGGCAACAGAGAATATAAGAGTAAAGTGTACGCGACTGTGTAGCCTCTCAGAGGCRTAAGAAATCAGTGCTAAAATCCTCAGTGGATTTGAGCCCAAAGCCCGAGTGCTCTCCCTGCAACAGTTCTTACATTGGTATTCTATTATATAAACTTTCTTTAATGTAGATACATAAAATATAGAGAAAATTTAGATCACAGTTCTGCCTTTGTGTAATTTAGTTTACCGATYGTAAGGGCAGCTCTCCCTTATAAGTCGGGCCCTTGTGGCCCCCCAAAGCAGGGTACTACTAAACATAACTTGTAGATAATCCAGACCTTTTCCTGTCTTAAAGCTACTTATGGACCCTGTTCTTCCCTGGATTGTGAYCCAGGTGGTTTACAGAGCTGTCCATTCTCCACTAAGACTCACATGAAACCATCAAGTATTACTTTAATATTTTCTTTCAGGCCACCAATGAAAATATTGAGTCATCCCTAAGTATTATATTTAATATTGATTCTTCCTGAAGCCTTTCAGAAATTCTGCTATTATGATTCCATGCTAGCAAATATTTTAGGATTTTTTTTTTAACTTTCATTAACCCACTTGTACTTAATATTTAGTACGTGCTGTGGTGTTCTGTAGCACTATTTTTTAACAAAATGCCAATGTATTTCTCTGTGCTTTCCCTGATCAACTGAGGGATATGCCYGATGGACTCTCCCTTTATTCAAATAAAGTTTTAGGTCTCCTCTGACTCCTTTTTGGACATTCAGTTCTTGACAGCGAGATTTTCCACACAAGCCAAATATGCATTTTTGTCACAGAATTAAAGCTTTTTTTCCTGACATTTATTTTGCAAAAATATAATTATTTTTTATTACACTCTTGTGTTTTCATAGGCCCACTTCTTAACTTTTGAAACTGTTCTCAGTTTCTCCTTTCAGCTTTGGACCAATGTCACATTAACTGTACTGCAGGTTTTTAGGGATGTCTTGCTTCTCCTTTTGAATACTTACATGTTTGTTAAAGGATAGGTTCCCTCTTCTTTGTTTCTGGAAATGCTCCTTTAATGCAGTCAAGTCGTGTTTAAAAAGCAGTAGGCATGTAAATGTTACTTTTATGATGTTAAAATCAGCCACAAAGCATGCAAACATAGAGTGTTGAATTACTTTTTACCAGATCTTGTGTGAATTAACTTCAAAGAGCTGCATTCTTTGTCCTCCTAATTTGACAAAAAATAATAACATAATTCCTTTGCATTGCAGGCTGAAAATGCATATGACCTCTAAAATGGAGACATGAGAGAGGACACAGATTCATATTAATTTAATAAATGTGAAGCATTTATTCACTGAGTCTTTAACAGTGTTTTACAGAGGCACATTTGAAACAGTGCTTTAAGCTACTTTTTTGCATGAAACACCTAGTTTCATGTTACCTATGTGTTTGTCTGAAACTGGAGTGTTTCAGGCTCCCAGTCTGGTCTGAAAAGAATAGCTGCCATAGAAACATAAAACCATATACAGCAAGCCTGATACTGAAATTTTCTAACCTATCTGCACTTCATACCATAAATACTAAATTCCTATGATGTATCTTGCATCTCCTTACGTTTCTGTCATTTCAGTAAGGAAATATTCTGTGTAGTTTGTGAAGAGGTAAACTGATTAACAGAGGTACTGAGGGCAGATACCTAGAACTGTCCTGATTATGAAAGCCTTTTTGTATGCMCAGATTTAAATAGATGGGCCTTGATTTTCATGGTTGTGACCACTATCTGCTTTTGTTAAGTAGGTCTAGTTTTCCGAAATTAGATAGTCAAATAATGAGAAATAGAAATGAGAGGATTCTTTTCAGTGTTAGGGACTAAATGATTTATTCGTTTCTATAGCAAAACTGAATTTAAGATTCCCATCTACTTGGTTTTCCTTCCTTTGCTTTACCCCATACTGCTCTTCACATATTTAGAAAGTGGGAGCTAAAGTAAAGACCTGATCCTATGAAGGCAGTGACAAAACTGTTAACTTAAATACAAGCAGGATTATAGCCATGAAAGACATTTTATCTGAGTGAAAATATAAAAATAAATGATCAATTCTATAGATTTAGAAATTTACAACATATACATGCGAGAAGAGATTGTTAGACATTAAAAAACAGATGAATATAAAACCAGGAGATTCAGTCAAAAATTACTCTGTCATGAAGGTTTTAAATCATACTTGGAAAAACACTTTGAAATCTTAGATCAGCTTTGGGGACTCACTTTCCATCCATCATATCACACTTTAAACTCTGCACCAGAAGCTGAGAATGTGCAGCAGAAGGAAAACATACTTTGACAACCCTATGATTTTACCTCCTAATGCACTGTATTATCACTGTCATGATAATTCATGGCTCTTAGAGTATAATCTGACATGACACTAAAGAAGTCATTACTTTGCTGTCCATGGGGAAAATCTWTTTCTAAATTTGAACTCAATATTGCTGCACTGGGCTGAAAAAAATCTGAAGCCCCCAAAGCAAATAGTCACAGTGAACCCTTAAGGAGGGATCACTCATGCTGTCTCTCTCTGCGTCTTGACACAGAGTAGCAAGATTTTCACTTCATTGAAAGAAAGCAAACATAAAACTTCATATTTTAAATGAGTATTTGCAGTCTCACTCTGAAAACAATTTTCAGGACATTCTGGCAGGCCCTGTCTATAATGAAGGGTTGTATTAATGCCAGTCTCTAAAGTTAGCTTAAATGACTTGCTGCATTCCCTAGTGTTGTCCCGTGATGGACAACAGTGCTGCTCTTCCTTCTGAGGGGCCCGTGACAGCTCCTGGTTTTGTCTGAAAAAGAGGGAACCGTTTTAGCAAAGCTTGAGACAAATTAGCCAGCAGCTTTTCTGAAAGTAGTCTGTCAGAGCTTCCCACCCTCGGAGTCACTGGGAAGTGACTGACACAGGCGGGAATCCCAAATGTTTTGATATTAGAAACAATGAACTTGATAAGACTACAGGATCATCTTTGAACCCGACCACAATAGGGATCCCTCAATCTCAAATTCAGTTGGGAGGTTGTTGCTTCCCAATACTCGTGTCTGCTGAATTCCCAACGTGGCCTGGTGAGGTGTCTGAGGGCATCTCTTGGGAGCTCCCAGAGCATGAGAGTGTTCAGCACAGAGGGACACAGAATTAGCAGCAAGGTTTAAACACACATTCCGCTTGACATGGGAGAGTTTCATTTTCTCCTTTTGATTTTTCAGGATGCCACAGAGGAAATATCTCCACGGAAATAGGGAGGAAAAAGACAAATTATGGACAGCAGCACCCCAATCTAGCTGGCTTCTGAGGTGTGAAATGCAAGTGCAGGGKCTGAGCAATGGTGAGTCATTCTCAYCCTTAGGAAGAAGCTTTTTGGAAGCATGAGGCCCAGAAGTTGACAGCTCTCACTAGCATAGCCTGGCACTGAGAGGTGTCGGTTTTCAAGGTCCAGGATGGCAAAAATATGGATGCCAAATTTGGAAATTTTGGAGGGTGGAGGATAGAGGAGAGGAGTTGTTAATTGACTGCAGCTAAATTAAAAATGTGACTTACCAGAGTTTCTCATGTGCAATCTCTTCACTGGGTGACCTTTCTGCAGATAAGGCAGAGAATGGTAATGGCACAGATACTGTTGTGTCTTTTTTTCTCAGACAATGAATTGCAGATGTCAAAAGGGCCATGAATGAGATGTATTTATCTCACAGGCTCCATTAAGTGCTGAACTAGCAGAGCTTGAGTCATATGTGTATATTAAAAGAAGATAGTTGGGGACTATTATAGGAACTTTGTATTATCGTGTGCTTAATCATTGCCTGAAACAATTCTTTTCAGAGGCTTTCTGAATACTTGGAGGATTGAAAGATCTGTCCCTTGGCCAGGACAGACAGGATAGTTTGACTTGGAACTCTGCCCATGTAAACCATAACCTTCACAGTGATGTTGGACTGTGCTTGGAAAGCATGGTCAACGTGAGCAGAGCTTTAGGAAACCAGACAGACTCTGTGCATTTAATTTAAAGTTCTGATGCAGGACTGGGCCCTACTAATGCCTACAAGAATCTARAAACCAACACAACCTTTTCATCATCCAAAAAAGTGATAAGCACTGATGCAGTAGACAGAGCAAATGCTTTGGAACTGATGCCGTAAAATCCTACTTAAAAAGATCAATTTCTAAAAAGTAGATAAAAAGCAAGCATGTTAAGTACTGTCATAAAGCTGGTGCTCTCTAGTGAAATCCTGTTACGAAAACGGATACAAAACCAGAAACTATTTCAATGTCCCCTCAAGGCACACGGATTTTAAAACAGAAGCCAGAAYTACTATGTCAAGTAGCAGGTGATCAACTGCTACTGGGTTTAATTCACCCACTCTTTCGTACGGTGGTGCTCTTCACATGTCCAGGCTACTAGCAACTTAAGGACCTAATGCAATGCATAGCATGAGGCTACCTGTCTTGTTCCTTGGTATTAATGCAGCCATCCTCAATGTCCTCCAGCTCTTTAGAAAGGCTTTGTCAGCATGTCAGGGCAGCATCACTGTACTGCATCAAAATGCTATGTATAATGTGTTCAAAATGCTAAGTGGAGTGTGTTTGACAGACAATAGCTTTGTCTCCTTTGATCAGACA